TGAACTGAATTTTATAGTTTAAGTGCAAAGAGCATGATATTTAATAAATAAAGGTAACACACAAAGCGTTAAAAAGCCACCTCTTTGGACGTAATTTAAAATCTGAAACCTTTTATTGTTGATTTTTTATACTTGACGTTTGTATTTTCCAAAACGGACTGTAAAATTAACTAAAAATGGATTTTTTGGTGACGTCTGTACGTAAGTACGTACGTGTCTCGCCCAACTCAAAACGGATTAGCCACATAACGTTAAAATTTAGCATATGAGACTGCTTATACGAGTTCTTGGTGATTTAATAGAAAAGAGTAATTCCCTTTGAAAAGTTAGAATCTTTCTGTGGAATCAACAGTAATTTTTCTTGTAAAATATTTTTAGTGTTTTAATATTTTTGTATTCAAAAAATTTTTATTAAATTTAATATATATTGCAGTTTTTGCTTTCTACAGTTCGCATTACCTTTAGTGAATTTTTAACTTTTCTAAATATCCCATTTCAAAAAATAATTAACATTTTCTTATCATTTCCTAGGAGATAAAAAATTGAAAAATTCAAGTGAAGTAAAAAGTTAGAACGTAAATTTAAAAAAAAAAATTAGCTCCAAAAAAATAAAGGCCAACCTAATGTAAGTCTTCTTTACCCGGCAAAAATGTTTTTACTCGGCCAATTATTTGAGAAATCATTTGTCGGAGTCAGTAACAGATAAAAATATCCAGGCTTATAAGACTTTTCCGTGACGTCTGTATGAAAAAGTAAAATTATAAGAAAGTTGACTCACCTGTAGGACAAAAATTAACTGGGATATTTCGTTTGAAAATTTGCAAATTTTTGATATCGTTTTCAACTTGCCTTTAGAATTCGATTAATAAAGTTAGAATAATTCGAGGAAATAAGTTCAAATGAAGTGCAGCAAACAATGTGTATAATTTAATAGGCCGTACAAGGAAGTCATGTGGTGTCCACATCAGATTTTTTTCATAAAATAAAGCACGGAAGGGAAAACATATTAACAAAATTCACGAAATTTTGTTAGATGCATTTAAAAAAAATACCTCTTTAATTATAATAACATTTTTGATCATATACATAACTGAAAATAAAATGCTGGAGCTGCTAACAGCGGCACATTTTAATTCAGAAGTGCGAAATTTAGAAGAATTAATGTAATCATTCATTGCGAATTAGGGCCCACCTTCGGCCGAGCGGTAAAATCGCTGAACACTGGTAGTTCGTTCCAAGACTTGAATCCCGCGAACGGGCTGGCTGCATGGGCGTTTTCGTGGTTTTTCCCATGTGTAACGTGTATACGAGACAGCTTCCCTTAGAAAGACCTCCACGAAGGCAGCCCTCCCCTTAACCCTAGCCTTCGAGGCTTTGCTGTAATTAAATAAACCAAACCAATCATTACGAATTACCGCAACAACGTTGGCGCAGTTTGGCAATTTTGTATAGAAAACATATTTAAAAAATATTTTTTACATACATGCATAACGTTATCCCGAAAATCAATTAATAAGCCTAATTACTGGCGGCTTTCTTTTTTTTTTTTTTTTTTTCTTTTTTTATCTTTTTTTTTCTTTTCTTTTTTTCTTTTTTTGTTCATTTGGCAATTTCGTAGCTATCCCTTTAAAAATAGATTTAAATCAATCTGCGATACTGCAACACAATTCCTGCAAAAATTTTACTGGAGTTTTTTCCATTGTAGGAAAGTCACAGAAACGCATATTATGTATATGTGTATGAGACAAAAAATATCGGTATTTATCTAGAACTCATACCACAACAATCGTTTTTATTAAACTGAAGAAATGGTATGTGCATAGTTGCCAGAATTTCCGCGTCCTTGAAAAATTTGGCAACCTCTGCTAAAGTAGTACTGTTAATATGTAGATACATCTTATTTAGATAATTCCCCCCCGTACGATTAGTTGTCCCTTGATAATCTCTTAATGACTTACCGTAGTTTATCTATTGAGTGGCTACGATTTTATTTTTCGGCACACATGATCAAGAATCTTATCTTTGTTATAAAATTACTATCTCTAGTACGAGTTTCTAAACAACAACGTACCTAAAATTTTTACATATTTTATTTTATACGTTTCAGTCTATAGAATGAAAAAAAGATAATGAAAAAAAATCTGAAAGCTTTCAGATATTATATAAAGGGGGAGTTTTTTAAACGTTTTGTGTGTTACCTTTATTTATTAAATACCATGTTCTTCGCACTTTAACCATAAAATTTAGTTCAAAAGCAATATCAAAAAAGAGTATATCTTTAGAATTTCTGATGCATAGTCTCACGCGCTGGAGACAAAAATGTATTTTTTTTTTCCGTACATTTGTGCCATTGCTCACATTGAAGTCATTCAGTTTTGTTAATCAAAAATTCCTTATAAGTTTTACAAAATATGAAACAGATAATAAAACAAATTCCAAATTTGGGCTTCCAGATGCCCAGACTGCGAGAAACATACATACATTCATGCAGATTCTTCATTAATTAATTTCTTTAAATATAATGCATGGCTGTAATATTTGGGGGCAAGAATTTAAAAAGAGAAACATGATTTTATAGTGGACGTCGGAATATGCCAAAAGGAAATTAATAGCCCTTCTGGGCAAACTGCCCTTTTGGGCTAAAACTTTTACTTCCTGAACGTGGAAAAATCATTCCTTTTAAATAGCGACGAAGTGAGAGAGTAATGTTTTTCAAATTTTAATTCTTTTAACCATATCTTCCGACTTATCTGTTTGCTTAACATTCAATTCATTCATTTCCATTGAATTCATTTTTACATTCAATTCATTTAATTTTCTGTTTGATTTGGAAATGCGATCCAATATCATCATCTCTTGATATCATGTAGGTGCTAATAATGAAAATATTTATATTAATAATTTATTTTAGCTTGCCTATGGAGTGAAAATTGAAATTCTGTCATATTAAGATTGACACTTACGTAAAGATAAGGCCGAAAAATTCAACACAAAATGAAACAAATTACAGTGATTTGGGGAAATTACTGTAGAGACGTAGTCGCAAATAAGAAAGTAGGTGAACTGTAGCCGCAGATAAGAATGTAGGTGAAATTTCATGAAAGTTTGTCCGATAGAAAAGGATCAAAATTAATTTTAAAATTCGAACCAAACAAATAGACCAACTAATGAAAAAAATCTAGTTTTAACAATGGAGTCATAGTGAAAAATATGGAGCAAATAATGCAATCCATACTGACCAGGTACTTAGAATATAACAATCTTCAGTCTTCTTCCCGAGTTCGCTTTTAAAAGTAGCACCCTTTATTCCAGCAGTGTGTGCCCACCAGCGGCCGAGCGGTAAAATCGCTGAACACTGGTAGTTCGGTCCGAGGTTCGAATCCCGCGAACGGGCTGCTGCATGGGCGTTTTCGTGGTTTTCTTCACGTGTAACGTGAATACGAGCCCTTAGAAAGTCCTCCACGAAAGCATCCCTCCCCTTAGGCAGATAGCCCTAGGGTGCTTTGCCGTATTCTCAATAGACCACCACACCACCAGCAGTGTGTTTTCCTTAGCCAAGATAATGAAGTTAGATATTCGTTTGGTTTATTTAATTGTGGCAATGCACTCGAGTGTTATCTGCCTATAGGAAGGGATGCCTTTGAGAAGAAATTTCTAAAGCAAAATGGCTCGTATACAGATGACGAAAAACACGGAAACCTTCATGCAACCGGCCCGTTCGCAATGTTTTAAAACCCCGGACCAAACTAGCAATGTTCAACTACTTGGTAGCTGAAATACCATTTGGTCACTAGAGGGCCTTTAATTAATATATGACTACGAAATGTTTCTCTAAGATTTCCTTGAGGCGTGAATTTTATTTCCTTGAGACTTTTCCCCTTGAGACGTGAATTTTATGCGTTTCCGCATGGGTTAAAACGTTACCGGAAACTAAATATTGCGATAAATATGGGGATGTAAATGTGTGGCTAATTGTAATGTAGGGATTCATTTAAATTTATTTAGCAGTTAATTTTATTTTTGAAGCAACCTTTCCTATTACTATCATTTTTCAACCCACGCTATCTTGCGAGATTGTTAATGAGTTGGCGCGCATGTATTCAGATGGGGTAGAAAAAGGTTACACTTTAAGGGAAGGTTTTGGAAGGTGAACTCAGAAAGAGAGGACAGCGTGTTCTGCCTGCATGAAGACCACGTTGCTATCTTTGATTTATTAGCGTGAGCGCTTCTAGCCATTAAGCATGATTATGCCGACTTTTACGAGTCAGAGCCTGCCTGAGAGTTAAGTAACTTGTAAAGGGCCGTTAGGCTAATTTAATTCTATATTATTTTAAGTTACTTGTTACCCTTTGAGTTAAACTAGAAGTGTTGGTTTCTTTTAAGCATGAATCGGTGGCATCTATGACAGATATTGAGTTAATAAATGGTTCTTTACATTCTTCCCAAGATTTTGTCGTACTTAAGGATAATTTAAATAAATCTACTAACATCTCGCTAGTTTATGTTCACTAAAAAAGCAGGCGCTAAAATAAGTAATGACTTTCTTGTGGCTCCCTCTACAGCATGTTAATTACAAGCTCTACAGCAATGTTAAATTTTCTGCCGCAATGTTATCCCTCTACAGCAATGTTAAATTTTTGAAATTGAAAAGACTTTCGCAAAGGTAGAAAGATACGTAGGCGAAAGTAGCTAATTGAGTAATCTCTGTTCTGATTATAAACATTAATTATGCTAATAACTAAGATGTAGCATATCATAACATAAATCTGTGTTAATGCAGATAAACCTATTGTAAAAGAGATCTGTGAACCAAAACAGAGCAAAAGTGAGATATGTGAGGCAGTTATAGGAAGTAAAAATGAGAGGGTTTCAAAATTAAAATGTAATATATTGAATGTTAATCTGAATGTAATGACAATATTCAGAGAGTAAAAATTTGAGAGTTTATTTTTTTTTATTTGCTGAATATTTGACGCCTTGTTTAATATTTATACCGACAGATGCCTTCAGTGGTGGATGATTTCTCTTCTGAGTCTCCAACTTCTTCGGATGATATTAGCCCTCCACCATCCTACAACGACGTCGTGGGAGCCGAAGAAGAAGAGAGATTCGCCTTCCTTCGTCCGCCTCCAATGTCCCAAAATATTGTGCCGTCTAAACCAAAGAAATCATCTAGCTACGTATTCCGGTCGGATATAGTTCGGCCATTTTATCGTCAGGACATACTCTATAGCGCCAGTTTGCTTAATTTACCAGAATATAAAAAGTCTTGTCAAGACCTCCAACTATATTCTGAAAGCGTAACGAAGATTCCTGCTGTTAGGGAGGAAGATGGACATTGCCTCTCTCCTGCTATGAAGGAGACTTTCAGACAAATGTTGGACTTGTCTCTTCTCAGAAGTCCAACATTTCTGTTACTTGGTGCAGGAGGTTTCCTGACTTTAGCTGGTCTTTTCGTGCCTTTTATGTTCATCGTAGACATGGCAGTCCAACAAGGGATCTCCCTGGAAGACGCCACCTATTTCTTGCCTGTGATTGGATTGACCAATACCGTTGGGCGAGTGCTTTGTGGATGGATATCAGATAGGCCATCTTTCAATGCTTTGACAATTAACAATGCAGCGCTGGTTGTTGCAGGACTGGCCACGGCGATAAGTTCGTGCCTCAATTCCATCGCATTGTTGATGGCATATAGTGCGATATTCGGATTTGCGGTGGGTAAGTATTAATTTATCTAAATGTAATGTTTTTTTTTTCTTTGTCTTTGTTAAAATCTATACGTTACTATATCCGGAGGTGGTTGCAAAGTTGTCAACGGCATACTGATACGCTTTGCTTTTGCACCACTGATTACACAGCTGGTTTAAAATGCGTATTTCATTGTATCCAGCCAATAAGAATAAATATATGTGCGTTTACTCGTAGTAAGATCAGTACACTGAGACTTTGCAGAAATTTGCAGACTTGCAGAATTGCAGAAAGCTGTAGCACAGCATGTTATGTAAGAACAGATGTGAAGATATATACATAATTGCATAAAAAAAATAAGCAACCAAATAAATAGTAATAATGGACATAGCATGATTGGCCATCCCGCAGGTTTGTGGAACTCTTTACCATGTTTCTATACATGCTGCAGGTATGCTAACACCAAAGGTTTAAAGAGTTTATATACCCGACAGTACTAATTTACTGTTGAGCATGTAATAATAGTCTCCCCCATTTTATGAAAATAAAATATTCTCATTGGTTTGGCCGATTAAGGCTAAGCAAGAAAGCTATCTGCCTAGGAGAAAGGATTCCTTTGTGGAGGACTGTCGGAGGGAAACTGTATCCTATTCACGTCTCATTTGCAGAAAAACCACGAAAACATACATACAGCTAGAGTATTCGCCTGGAATCGAATCAAAGTCGAACTACCAGTGTTCCAGTCGAACTACCGTCATTTTTCTTCAGGCGTATCAGTACTGCAGAAAATTAGTGAAGATATTCAAATCCCTGAAAATGTGTTATCTGCAGTAATTAGTAGTTCTGGTGGTTTTCCCTATCTGCAAAGCGAATAAGCCAGTTTTCCTTAGAATGTCCTCCATAAAAGCATCTCTATCTTTTGCAAAAAGTTCTCGAGTAGTTTGCTATAATCCATTCTTAGTTTTAACAATGTATAAGTTTCCTCCATAAAGTCTTCCACGAAGACATTCCTCCCTTTAGGCAGAGAGCCTTTACTTTAGCAGTAATCATGTTCTCAGAAAATATAGATTCATCGTTACAGCTTTGAAGTAGTATTAACCGTTCAAATTAAATTCAAAAGTAAAAATGGGCTGATTATTATCTAAATGTTAATTTTGTAATGTTGATTTGTTTATGCCATTTCTTCAGTAGTTATCATAACATGACATGGTGGTTAAAAATTAAATCAGCATTGATTGAAAGTTAAATATTACTAATTTTAAAACTTAGAATCGTGTGTTTTCTTCTAAATTTTAACATCGTCTGATATACGCAAAACCATTGAATAAACTCCTCCACGATAATTTCTCTCTGTTTGGCAAATAAACTTAATATTCTTTACCAAAGTTCAATAAATTCAATTAATACCGTATGTTTTGAAACAATTACTAAAACAATTATGAAATATATTCAGATAATATTTGGATATAACATACATCAGAATTTGACTGTATAATGAAAGACGGTCAAACTTCCTAACAATATAATAATTCTGAAACTATCGACCGCACCATGCTAAATCCGAAAACCTACAAAATCATAATGTCTATAAAAATGAGTTTAAAATTGTTTTGAGATCCAGTGTCGTGTGTCTTCTCTGTACAAATTGTGACAGCTGCCAATAATGATCCGGAGATAGTGGAGACCATAATACAGAGTAAAGGGAAATGTCATTTGTTTTTATTATTCCTATGTCCATTATTTTTGCATTATAAATGACAACTGCCAAACCTCCATCTTAATTGTCAATCTAAGCATTATCCGAAATGGATAGGTAAGCCGTTATTTTGCCTATTCGTGATTAGTCTTTTGACAGGCGAATAACTTATAAGAATTCTGCATTTGAATAGAAAAAATGCAATATAACAGTAAAATTATTAGTTTAATACCGGGGTTTACAAAATTACATCGAAATGACAATAAATTAGTGACATTACTATGAACAGCTTGGTACATTTTCATAACTAAACTGATGCAATATTTTTTGTCTTCGAAGGTTGTTTTGCCACGCTACGCTCGATAGTCATCGTTGAACTGTTGGGCCTGGACAAGCTGACGAATGCCTTCGGTCTCTTGTTGCTCTTCCAAGGACTGGCATCGATGGTTGGAGCTCCAGTGGCAGGTGCGTATCATTGATTTTTAATAGCAAAACTAGCGAGCGACTTCAAATTTAGACTAAATAGTCGTTTTCAGTCATCCTTACCTAATCCTGAGACTAAATGTATTCCGACACCTCTGACCTTTGAACTCAGTAGCATTGCACAAGGAAAAAGGGGCACCCAGACCTAGCATTGCTCGAGGAAGCCTCACGTGGTTATATGCTCCGAATTCTAGACTTCTTCCAAGTGGGCATAACCCCCCGGTCTAGCCCGAGGGACAATTTTATCTCGTTCGTCATTATAAAACACAAAGCGCAAAGTCTGTGATGGATGGCTAGCATCCACCTAAAAAGAATCTCAAGCACATGTCAAAACATTGACCTCCCCCAGCCTTGACCAGCCAATACCCCCTGGGCAACCTTCGATATCTGACAATGTAACGTCCTCACAACAAAGGAGCAGACAAGACATTACCACTATGGCCCCTGCCAAGCCTGAATCTACCACCGAATAAACGATGGCTCTAATCCTGTGAAGACAGTTTATTTACCCCAGAAGTAGAGGCTGTCTAGATATTGATCTAGCCAGTGTTCTGAGATGGTCAATTCCAGTCGATCCCCAGGGATGGTCATCCGAACATAGTTAGTCCAGGGGGGGTGGCAAGAGGAGTCCTATATCGGATTAGGATAAGAGAGTCTATGTGGTGCGCGTCACTGCCTCGTAGCTGTACCCACTCTCAGAAGGTCCAGATCAAGCTCCGGGCCTCCTTCCATAAAATAGTGAGTTTCGGATATCCGATCCTTTCCAGCTTCGAGGGAGCACAACACCTTCAAAGACGGTCTTGTTATGGCATAACTATTACTGGTGGCATGTGCAGAAGTTTGGTGTTAACGGTATCTTCGTTATACCTCAAGAGAAGGTTTAAGACTAAGAGCATAAGAATTGAAAGCTCCCAATTTTATATTAAGACTGCGAAAAGAGAGAGAAACTAGTCAATCACAGTGATATACCGGATATCCATCACTGGTTAGTGATGACATTTTAGACCACTAGCCATTTCCAACTATCTGTGAAGAATTCTGACACTAGTCAAGTTCTTATTGGGTGAAATGGACAGTCTTCAAAAGAAAATGTTCATTTTAGACCACTGACCATATCCAGATGTCGTTCACAAAATACCATAATAATTAAGTGGCATAAACAGAACTTCATTGCCTAACAATGAAATTGCTTGTCCGTAAAAAGTAGTTTAGATTTGACAGGTCTAAATTAATATTCGCAGCATTATTGTTACTGTTAAAACATGTATCTAACGCCATATAGCACGAACTTTTATATTTATTTATTGACATTTTTAGTGCATGTTTAATAGTAATTTTATTATTGTTCGTTTTTGTTAACTATGAAAGTTATTATATTTACAGTAATACGGAATTACGCAATAAAAATGTACACTGAATTTTAAAAAAAGTGCAGTTCTACAGCACCTATTCTACACGGCCGATTGACGAAATTCGACTTGCGTGTTTCATGCCTCGAAAGCGCGACTTAGGATATATATTAAATTTTTATATAGCGTTTTTCTAATATATATATTTTGATATAAAATCGGACTTTTTCTGAAATAAAATGCCGATTTTGTGTTTCATATTTTCATTCGACGACCCAAATTGTAGATAAAAAACGATTTTGTAAAATTTGATTAAAAACTTACCGAATAATTTCAAAATAAAGTTTAGGACTCTTTTCACCAAGAATAACTAATTCACTAGTCGAACTTCTCCGTTTATGTTATTCTTTTCGCTTTCTCTTTCTTCTGATGTGCAGGAAATAAATTTCCGATTGCTTCTTTTTTTCTTATTTCTTATTTTTATCTTATCTTTTAATCCTAGCTTATATCTTTAGGTTCTTTCCGTTTTAAATAATTTTGTTTTAATTATTTGAGTTGCAAGTTTACGTTATACCTTCGTAGCTCTTCAAACAGTTAATTTAAAAATTTCTATTTAGTCATTCACATTGTGTATTTTAAGCGTATTCATATAAATGTTTGTTTCTTCATTTGATTTTATTTGTTTGAATAGCATTCTTTTTTAAATATACTTTATGATTCAGCATTCATCTCGATGTCTTTGAAGACGGCTATAGCCGAAAACATCACGGCAAAAACATCGCGGGCGAAAGCGTCGCGGAGAAAACAACGCAAAGCGAAAACGTCGTAGTACAAAACATCGTGGGAGAAAAGAAAGCAAAGTTAAAAACATCGCAGTTCTAAAACATCGTGGTACAAAGTATCGCCTTCGAAAATAAAGTAGTTCAAAAACTTATATCGTCGTCTAAAATATCATGATAAAAAATAAAGCACCTCCAAATCATCGCATGACGATAATATCGCACGCAGGTGTTAAAAATTTAAATACATATTCTCATAAAGATTTGGAAGTGTTAACGACATTTTTAGAATAAATGAAAACAAACCGAGGTATAATTTTCTCCAAAACAATATCAGAATAACAAACGTGAAAGAAAGAAATTTAATAACTAACTAAGCAATTTTTATAGTGGTAACTTCAGTTATTTATCTTCCTTTTCCTAAACATTTTAGGCTGTAGTTTTCATGAAAAATTATGAGTAAAACTTTATTAAAAATGATTAATTTATTAATGATTTCTGCTAATTAACTGTGTAAATTTAAAATTCTATTAAGTGCTATAAGTTGCATTAATTTTCTACTCATTTTAAATTTTCCAAATGCTTAAGTTTCCTTCTACTTACTTTTTCAGGTAAGAGTTTCTTACTTTTTTTTAGTTCATTTAAAAATATGAAACATGAAAGTTCAAGAAGGAAAGAGGGATCTCTTTCCTTCTTGCACTCCCAAGTCATTATGCGAAATGCTTTTAAAACCTGAAAAATGCATGTCTGCGATGTTATCGTCGTGCAATGCTTTATACGTACTTAATTTTTTACCGCGATATTTTCGATGACGATGTTTTTAATCTGCGAAGTTTTTGAACCGCTTTATTTTCTATGACGATATTTTGTACCACAACGTTTTCGCCTTGCGTTGTTTTCTCCGCAATGTTTTCGGCGGAGACCTTTGAAAACTGTATATTGCATTGAAACAGAAAATATCGTCAAGCACGATTAATACGTCTTTTGATTGGCCGTTCGGAAAAAATTATATAAATAAGATTGATGCCTAATCTGCATTTTCGTTTAGAATGATACGCATGCAAACAATATTCCACAGTACTATCAGTGCGCCATTGTTTTAAATAATTTTATCATCCTAGATTTAATGCGTCAAAATATCTGTATTTCCGAATAAATTCAAATGTTTCATTTTTTAAATTCCAAGAACCAACCAATTAACCTAATCGGTAGAAGCGTGGTGCCCGTCTTCCCCGTAAATAAATAAATTCCAAGAACCAAATACCATCACAAAAAAAGACTGAATTTTATGCAAGTAAATAATAAAAAAATGATCTGAAAGGGTTAACGGTTGAAGGGTTTTTTATGGTTTTTCCACGATTTCCCTAAGTTGGCAGTCTACCAGTCAGTCTACTGCTGCACTTACTCCTGCTAACTCATTTCTTTTTGTCTTTTTAGCTTTATTAGTATGCATCATATTTTTCGCACTTACGCCGTATATAATTCAACATAAAAATTGCAGAAATTTTTTAAAGCAGTATGTATTTAGAATTCCCGATGAAGTGTTAAGTGTTTGCAAGCATTTCTCTATTTTTTTCAGTCTTTTCTCAGTTTATCATATCGATGTACAGTTTCCTTAATAAGATGGCTTGCAAAACTTTTTTTTTATTATTATCGTTTAATGTGTTAAATTTATCAATTAAATATCATGTTCTTCTCACTTATGCCGCATAAAATTCAGCTGAATAGCGAAATCACAAAATATTTAAAAACAGAATATCTTTGAAGTCGTTGATTTTGTTAAAAATTCATTACAGTTTTACGAAATATGAAAAATAAAATTCGAAATTCAAAATTCGGGCTTCCAGGTCTACGTGTTCGGGTGGAGGACTAATTATTCAAAATTTGATGGCCTAAAGGTATCGTTGGTTATTTACCATTCGAGAAACATATATACATTCATGCAGATTCTTTATTATTTAATTTCTTTAAAAGCAAAACAGCGCAATAATATTTCGTGGCAACAGTCTGAAAAGTGATTCAGGCAATTAAAGGCCAAATCCCGTTTCAGGCCCAAACTCCGCTTCGAGACTAATAGCCCATTCACGTCTAAGATTCCTTTTAGGCTTAAAAAATAAATAAATAAATTTGAAAGTTTTCAGATTTTATATATATATATATATATATATATATATATATTGTTTTTGTTTCATTTTTGGTGTTTTCTTCATCTTGAGACAAATGTACGTTTCGATAGCATTTGGGCTAATGCCAGTTTAGACTGAAAATATTTAAAAAAAGCATATCTTTAGAATTTCCGATAGACAATATCGCGAGCTGGAGATTAAAATGTTTTATTCCCTACAGTGTTGCCATGCTCGCTTTGAAATTGTCGAGTTTTTTAACAAAAAATTTGTTAAAGTTTTACAAAAGATGAAACAGACAGTGAAACGAATTCAGAATTTCGAATTCGGGCTTCCAGGTACGAAAATGTCAGGAGAAGGTGTAATGAGCCCTTAATTAACTCAAATACAGTTCACAGATGGCGCCAATTCTCGCTTACAAAAGCCAATACTTTTAGTTTAACTCAAAAGATAATAAATAGCTTAAAATTAAATGAGGTTAAATTTAGCCCAACGGCACTATCGCGGAAGTTGGCTAAAAAATTTGGCGTAAACAAACCTAATAGTAAGAATAGCTCAACACTGCAGAAATCTAATCGCTAGAAATTCAAGATAACAACGTGGCCTCGAGGCAGGCAGAACAAGCTCCGATTTCACCTTCCAAAACTTTCCCTTAAATATTAATAGATAGAAATATTAATTCCCTTAAATATTATTAGACATTTCTTTCTGTCTTATTTGAATACACGCACGCTAGTCGATTTTCATTCTGGCAAGAAAGTGTGGGTTCAGAGAAAGAGCGATAGGTAAGTCGCTTAGACATACAATAAGTTAAATAAAGTAATTTAAGTAATTAAAGTTAAATTAAGTAAATTAAATAAATCCCCACAAGCTGAATCAAATTTATCGGACGTCATACATAATAGCCTGGCTTTTTTTTTTAAATTGAAAATTTTAATTGCTTGTGCACCACATATTATTACACAAGGCTTACAGAAGTAAGTAAAAAAAAAAAAAAAAAACTTAGGAACTCACATACGACACGTATGAGATAAATTTACAGAAAAAAAAGAAAGCCATTTTATCTTGAACAAACATGTGAAGAGGGGGAGGAAATATAATATTCACAGAGTTTAACCTACAAATGAGTTCTTTTCGTCCTTCCGTGAGCTTTGAACAATAGAACAACAAATGTTCGACATTTTGCACTCCCCCAAAACTGCATGAACACAAGTCTGTACCAGATAATCTAAATCTCTGCAGATATGAATTTAAATTACCATGTTCAGTTAGAAATTGAGTAATTTCAAAGTTGCAGAAAAAGTGCTTATTATTCAGTCTGTGAGGAATGGAAGGAAAATATAATTTGGTCAAGGAGGCAGTAATAGAATTCCTGTATAATTCATTTCACTTGCTTATTGTATCATCCCTATTTTTTTCTCTTGAAAAATGACTTAGGCAATATCATTGGAGTATTTACTTGTAAGACTCCAACGATACTCGTAGCTTTTTTTGCTAACCAATCAACCCTTTCATTTCCTAGATTGCCAGTGTGGCACATACATGAAAAAAGATCTCATCAACATCTTTATTATTAACTTCTTTAAGAAGGGTATGAGAAGTGACAATTAATTTATTACATGAGAAGATATTCCTAAGAGCATACAAGGATGAAAGAGAATCAGTGCGAATAAGAAATTAAGCAGAGTTGTTAGATATCCACTTAATTGACTCACTAATGTACAGTAATCCGGCTTGGAAAAACTTTGCGTTCGTTGGGAGTTCTAAAGAGTTTGTATTCCAGTTCAGAACCATGATGGAAAACGACATAAGCTAATCCAACTCGATTGTTCATTTTACGGCCATCTGTATAACACACAACAGGGAATTTATCATCAACGGAATTGCCATATATGATAGTTTGAATCGGCAAACGATCGGCAGGATAAGGAAGATCTTCAAAGAACACCTTGGCATCGAACACAAATTGGCTTGAATGATAGATTTGATAATTAATGCTTTCTCGTCGAAATTATTCGACGATATATATTTCGACGATATTCTCGTCGAAAATGAAATATCTCAATTTTATTTTAATGAGATTTATTCAATTTAATCTATTAATTCTTGAATTTTCCATAACAAATGCTTTTATACTATTCTAGTATATAATTCTAATATGAAGCTGAAACAATTTTTTTATCTTACTTGTATTCATAAAATAGTTCTAATATTGCTAAAAAATATGTGTCTTTGATTGATTTTATTAGAATTTGTCTGAATTATATAAAAGAACAAAAAGGTGGGACCTTTCTAATTATCTATCAAACTTATAAACTATAATTTTGAAATAATGCAAAAATAATGCTATAATTGAAATAATGTGTGACTTTAAAAGTCACATATTATTTAAATAGTTCTAAAATTACTAAAAAATATGTGTATTTGACTCGTTTTATTAAAATATGTCTGAATTATATAAAACAACAAAAACGTGGGACCTTTTGTTATCTATCAAACTTATGAACTATATTTTTGAAATGTCGCTTTAATAGTCAAATATATCAGCGCTATTTATCAAGTTTGATTTTAAATTATAAACAATCGCAGGCAAAAGTCAGAAAGAAAAATTCTAAGAAATTTAGAACATTTATGTCATTTACCAATATAACTGGTAATTATGCGTAACAAGCATATTAACGTCACTTTTACTGTAACATATATATATCTTTCTCAAATAAGGGGTTTGAAGATCTGGAACGGAGAATTGACCCTCATGTGTGCTAGTGATTATGTGTATTAACAGAAGACTGTGCATAATTAACGGACTAATCACCTTTACTGTATTATATATTTCTAATCTCAAATTAAAATTTTTGAAAACTTTAAACAGAGCCTGTTTCTCCTGTTGCGAATCACTTCACAGAAATATCTCCCATATCTTTCTACGATCTAGGATCATTATAGAAACTGAAATAGGCCTGGGTAAAATAAATTGTTTCAATTTAACGCTCTAAATGCTATGACTGTAACTGATTTGAGGAAGAACTTAATCCGTGCATCCGAAATGAAGCGGATATGAAACACCGCCCATCACTACTATAAATCACACTTTAGGCTTTAATGGAAACAGTCCATTATTTGTTTCTCGATCTGTAAATGCTGTTACAGTATCTTGGTATTCGGTTAGAATCATGCCCTAATATAATATGAGCAGTGACTGAAAAAGTCTTACAGCCATTTTAAAACAGTTATATACAGCATAAAGTGGCAATAAATAACACAAAATCAATCGGTTGCGTGTCAATTACATAACATGCGGAATTAAAATAGTTTTTTTTATTATTTATGATAACGCTACAGATGTTAATGAAAACTGAAATTTGTATATATTGCAAATTAAAAGTATTTTAACTTGTATAAGTCATTAAATTTATTTAAAAATTCAGTCGTATAATAATTGCCTTTAACAGCAGTATCGCAAAATAAAAAATATTAGAATTTCCGCTACACAGTCTCCCGCGCTGCAGACAAAAATATTTTTTTCCCTTCCGTACAGTGTTGCCATTACTCGCTTTGAAATCGTTGAGATTGTTAATCAAAAATGCGTTAATGTTTTACAAACTATGAAATAGATAATAGAACAATTTCCAAATTTGGGTTTCTAGATGCCCATATTCGAATGGAGGACTACGTTATTCACAATTGAATGCCTCTAAGTACCGTTGTTTTTTCACAGTGCGAGAAACACACATACATTCATGCACATTCTTCGTTATTTAATTTCTTTAAATATAATGCAGGACTCTAATATTTAATGGCAATAATTTGAAAATTGAAACGCTGTTTATAGTGCACCAACGCAGAATGCCAAATCGAAATAAATAGCCCTTCTGGGCTAACGCCCTTTGGGCTAAAAAGAAGCAAAAATAAAAATCTTATGCACACGAGGGCTATCTGCCTAAGGGGGATGCCTTCAAGGAGAACTTTTTAAGGGAAACGGATCTGCATATATGTTAAACATGAGAAAACCCACAAAAACGCCCACACAGCCAGTTCGTTTCCCTATATTCGAATCCTGGACCAAAATACCAGTTTTCAGCAACTTTACCGCTCAGCTGTTGGTGGGCCAGAACTTTGGTGGAAATGGCAGAGACAGCGGTATTTCTTAGCGATCGCAGATACGTAGATATGCAAAAGTCCAAGAAGGTTTGCTTCATAATAAGAATAAAAAATTATTTTCAAAATCTAACTAATAGAAAAATCAAGCACCAACATAATTAATAACAACAAACTAACACCAACATCACCAATAGAAAAATCAAGCTAAATTTTAAAATTATGTGAAAGTAAATTCTGCAAGCAAATATTTAATCTTATCTTTCTTTTTAGGTATGTTCTATGATGCAACTGGCAGTTATGACGCTCCCTTTTACATAGCTGGAAGTCTCATCCTCGTGTCAGGAATCATGGGTATTCCACTGCCATACATCTCTAGATGGGAGAATAACAAAAGACTCTCTTCCAAAGACCACGTGTCTGTCTCTGTAGAATGCCCTGATGACGAGTCAAAAGTGTTATCAGTGACTGTTTGATAGAGGACGTTAAAGCTAGCAAGAGATTTCGGTAGCTCTCTTTTTTAGGGAACAATTTAAGTAATGCTGGACATCGTAAGCTGGATATCTACAGTAATAGTAGATCATATGTCCATCTCTATAGAAAGCTCTATTGACGCATCAAAAGTGAAATCCATCCACCTTTTGCTACGAAGGAGTTTGAGAAATTTATTTTTAAAGGACACTTTAATGTAATCCTGGATTTTGCGTCCATCTTCGTACTACCTTAGACATACCAAAAAGGAAACTCGTGACTGTTTGATAAAGGACCACCAGTTCTACCATGACATCTGTACACTTTACTATTAGGAGACACTTTGAGATAATGTCGCACATTCTAATGTACTGAATAAAAAGGACACTTCCATTAAAAAACAGAAAAACCACGATGTACGCGGAACAGTTTCATCATCCATTGATTTTCATATCTGTTATTTGGGAATAATACATCCGTCATTTGCATTGTGTTATGATGTAAGACATTCGGGGTTCCCAGTACTGTTCGACCACGGATAGCGCGGCCCTTGGTGGCAATCTGCCAGAAGACCCGTGTACAAACAATTTCTTTTAACCTTGAAATCTCAATACTCCTAGTAAAAAATAAGCAAGTGTCTGACCATTTAAAAATAGATAATATTTAAAAAAAAGCTGCTAAATCTGTGTAGAGTCTGTTTATGATTATAAAAGCTCTCGCCAGTTAGTCTGCAGCTGTCTGTTGCCGTAGAAACGAGTCTTGATCCATTTTCCTTAGGGTTGTCTTGAAGACGAATGATAAACTGTTTTCCCTTCAGCCAACAGTCGCTCAAAACGAAATAACAATAAAGGACATTTTGGTTCTTCCCTATTTGAAATATACTAGCCCTGTTGCTATAACAACAGCCACCCGCCAGACACTGTGGTGCGAGCTCTTCTTCTCGTAGACACATAGTAGAGAGGCAGACAAAGAAAACGTCGACTTAGCGCTGTTAAGTAATTTTTCAAAATTTCAAAATGTCACTTTCCCACATCTCGGATAGTTGATTCTCGTAATGAAAACATAAAATAATAATAATAAAAATACGTTATACGTATTTAATCTTATTTGCATATATCTATTTGTTTAAGAGTTTGATATTATGTTGTTCACTTGCGGTTTTTAACATACTTGATTTCAAGCAATGTACGCTTAGAATTTTGAAACACCACGTGCAGGATATATATATACTGTCAATATAAATTAAATTAACGAAGCTAAAAATTTTTTTATTGTTTCTGCCGATTTAATAATGCAAAATGTCAAAATAGCTAGCAGCTACTTGTATGTAAATAGACGAATTATGTGAATATCTGAATATTTTGCTGAATAACCTATAACGTCTGGCTATTTTGCAACTTTCCGAAATTTCAAAATGTTGCCTAATTTTGTCAGAAATTTTGCCCCTGGTGATCAGAGATTTTACATTTATAATGCTTTCCTGTATTGTCTTATAAAGATTTAGCAGCTACAGTTAATGGCTATCGTTTTTTTTTTTTAATGCATAACATTAACTCTGTATCTTTTCTGAAATTCAAGGTTAAAGGATCGTTCTTCTTAGATTCTTCCAGTAAGTACAGAAGAGCGCATCTGGAAGAATTCAAGAACATGTTTTTAAGAGAACAACTTTTTTGCATTGTGTTCAGCATCGCGTGACTGCTGCATGTCAATAATTCACGTACAAAACAACAGTCATTCCTCAAGTGTCAATCATATTTATTTAAGGAATAAATGTGTGTACAAATGTGTTTGATGTGATATTGATTTATACATGTACTTACTTCACAGATATGATTACTATTTATTTGTGTAACTCTTTTGCATCGGTAGAAACCAAAATATCTTCCTCTCAGAACATCTGAAACGCCTGTATATAGACCGAAATTTTGTTGGAATAGATTGCGTTCTTCCATGCCAAGTAGAATGCTATAGCCTTAACAATAATCTACTTGAGCGATTACTTCTCTCGTGGGGATCTTTGTGCGGTTTTAGCCATTGTGTCTAGTTTTTCCTTAGGACAAGATTGCAATTACGAGCATCAGTAGCTAAACATTGACACTGAACAAAGAGGAGGAAAGGTGTATTCAAGTAAGAGAACTACTTTTAGTCGCTCCAAAATAATGATTGTTTGTCATTTAATAACTTCCGAAACCAATGAGCCATGACCTAACGATGAGGGAAAACACAATGTAGAAAAGAAACGCAGGCGTTCGGGCTATCTGCCGATGTCTGAATGCACAGTCATTTTGGGCTACTTCGCTGTGATAGAGTTAACAAACTTAACTGTTCAGTAAAACACCCAGCTATTCGGTATCCTATTAATCTTTTTTATATTGATCCAAGACGAATTGAAAATAAGCTCGTTGTTGAATAACCTATTCGTTTTAACATTAAAACCCACGGACATTTACAGTCTTCTTTAAAATACTAATAGGAAAGCAGGTGCACGCTGCTCATAGGCTTGTTCTTTGCTTATTCGAGAAGTCATTTCTTAGTCATCATGAGTGCTTCTTTTTACCATTGGTAGTCAATTTTTTTATACCTACCGCTCACTTTGTAGGTAGTAAAATTTCCTTACCGCCCACTGGTTTCTTAGTAACTAAATTAGTACTAAAATTTGTAACTCAGTAAAATTCAAAGTAATTTTTTGAGTGGAGGCTCAGTCAAAATATTTATAGTTAAATTTATCGATTTACTTATATTTATAAAAGATTAAAAATTTATGTCCCGCACAGCTGGCCGGGACATCGGTTCCAGGGAACAGTTTCGCCTAGGAAACCTTCAGTGATACAAAAAGGAAAATTTTATTTCCCCGGGAAAATTTCTCCTAGCCTCACGCTTAAGATGTGATAATCCCATTATGTGGGCTATAGTCACAGAGCAAGTAAGAGAACTGGCAAAGCCTGATAAATATACGGAAACAGGAGACAGAGAGCTTTATGCGGGAGAACGGATTTTCATCACCCGGATGGACAAAAGCTCTACCCGCCCACCATTAAAGCTTACAACAGTACGAAGTCTGTAATCTGGACATCCATTATCCGGAATGATCTATAATCCGTACTTCAAAGCCACAGACTTTTTTTTCTGTATGCTTTACGCATGCGCGTTTAGCGCAAAAAAACGAAGCAACTTAAACAACTTAAATTGAAAGAAATGTTTAATGAAGTAAACAAATAAATGTTAAGCTTTGTAAATTTTGATACCCTTTAGATCATAATTGCTCTTTATTTCATAAATTACGGTTTCATTTTAATTGTGTAATTTCTGCATGCCATCTTACCAAATTTAAATTTATGATCTATAACCCGGAAAAACCCTTAATCCGGAATCGCCGAAGTCCCGACGAGTCCGGATTACGGACTTTGTATTGTAGTAGAGACCAGGTTGACTATCCCTGTTTTATACGAACACAAACAAAACAAAGGAATGCTATTATGTCTGCCCCCCTTCAGGAGAGGAAAATAACATATTGAATTTTTAGTTTTAGTACCAAACTCAAAGAAATTAATTTCCTTGCATTATTTCCCTTCGAGTACAAATGGTTTGTGACCATAGGTGAATAAGAAATAATTTCGTTGTTTATTTCATACAAAAATGAGTTTTAAACAGAAATAAATATTTTCTATTCTTTTGATTCTCTATAGATTCTTTTTAATTAGAGATGGGACGAATCCTAAATTTTCTCGAATACTGAAAGGTTTAGATCCCTAAAACCCTATATATAAAGATGAGAAGAAGAAAATAGAAAAATAGTAATATTAAAAGGTTTAATTAAAGCAAAATTTGACATTTGTATTAAAAAACCAGTTTTCGAATGGGTGCCTATATTTATCGAGAAGATACAAATGAAATTTAATAAATGAAAGCGCATAACTAGAACTCTTGAAATTTAAAAGTTTATTTTCTCAACATAGTTTTCCAAAAACCATTTTGAGTAACAGTTTGAATTTAGAGTATTTTTTAATCAGAGAAAATATAGGAGGGGAATAAATTAATTTAGATGGAAAAGTACTAAATTCTGTCTAAAAATTTAACAGTTCGGCTCCCAGGACGACCAGAGGTCATGCGTGTGATTCACGTCCACACAAACTTAAACTAATCTGACAGAAGCTTCTATTAAGAAAGTTAAATTTTTAAAGTTTTGGCATTTTGTGTCATCCTCTATAAAACGACGATTCCTTTTTCAAATTGTTCCCACCAAGTATTAGAGCCCTGCATTATATTTAAAGAAATTAAATAATGAAGAATCTGAATGAATGTATGATTCTCGCATTGTGAAAAAACAGCGGTACCTAGAGACATCAAATTTTGAATAACGAAGTCCTTCTTTCGAATATGGGAATCTAGAAACCCAAACTTGGAATTTGTTTTATTATTCATTTCATATTTTCTAAAACTTAAACGACTTTTTGATTAACAAACTTAACGATTTCAAAACGAGCAACAGGAACACTGTTCGGGGGGCAGAGAACTGTGCATCAGAAATTCTAAAAGATGTGCTCTTTATAAATATTTTATGATATTACTGTTGAACTGAATTTTATGGCTTAAGTGCTAAGAACATGATATTGAATAAATACATGTAACACACAAAACGTTAAAAAACGCCTCTTTGGGCGTAATATAAAATCTGAAATGATTTTTTTAAATATTGTATCTACTTGATACAATTTAAAAAGAAAATTTAATTTATAATACACAACGATAATTTTTATGAAGAAATAGAGCTTTCTTACATTAAGAAAAGATGTTTCAAACACTATTTAATACGTATTCAAATGCATTTACTCATTTAAAAGCTGGTGTACTTTTCTTTGCAACGAATATCATCTGATTATCCGTATGGACTGAGATTTCAAGAAATGGTTATTTTTCTCACTAGTAGTATATTTTATTTTCGCTAGATGACGCCACGAGACGCTACGTTCAATTTTTCAATCTTTCATCATATTTCATTTTCCATTCTCTCAAGATTTATTCGAATACAGTCAATCAATCACTCTCCACATTTACTGTACCTCAAATAATATATATAAATATGTATGTCTACGAATAAAGAAGTATAAAAAAATAATAATAAATACTACGTACAAGTATATATTTAATTAAAAGAAGTGAAGTACATATATGTTATTAAAAACGATGAATTATACACATTGTAGCGCAACAGGAAAAATCCAAAAAGTAAAAATATACGTATTTGATGATATAGTCAAGAGATATGAAACTTGAACCTGCATATCTACAGAATTACAGCTGCACCACCTAGAAGAACAAATTTAGGAATACAAAGTTTATGAAAATTGACTAAATTCTTATCGATAAATTTAAGGAAATATTTCCATTTTCCAACACTGCTGATTATAAAATGAAGAAGTAATATTTACTTATTTTTATATTTATATTGATCTTTATTTCGCTAATTTTAAAGTAATTACTTTCTACTAATTCAGAATTTCTACTAATTCATATTGTGTCTTAATTAATTACTTTCTAGTTATTACAAAACTTTTAATTAGTAAACATATAGTAAAATGTTCATATTTTGCAATAAATGATACCAAAAATTTACCTTCACAATTGGATCTGTCATCTTTATTCTTATCAAATGGTCCTTTTGCAATATCGGCAAGAAGATGAAGCAAAAAAGTCTTGTCCACACGTTGCTAAATTAAAACAATATTATGTAATGTTAAGTGGCAAATGCGCACACATGTTATTATACGCAAATACACATACATCCAATAATATTTTATACATATTTAAATCTTGAGTTTAATTACGTGAAGTTTTTTATCTCCAGGATATTTTTAGCCCAAACGAGACGTTGGTCCCGAATGGGCTATTAGTCTCAAAACGGTATTTTGCGTTGAATCACTATAAACAGCGTATCACTTTTCAGATTAATGCCACCAAATATTATCGCCCTGCATTAAATAATGAAGAGTTTGTATAAATGTTTTCCGCGCCGTGAAAAACAACGTTACCTAGAACCATCCAGTTTTGAATAATGTAGACCTCCACCCGAACATGGGCAGCTGGAAACCCGAATTTGGAATTTGTTTTATTATATATTTCATATTTTGTAAAACATAAACGAAATTTTGATTAACAAATTCAACGGTTTGAAAGCGAGCAGTAGCAACACTATACGGAATAAGACATTTTTATATCCAGCGCGAGACTGTCTGTTCGAAGTTCTAAAGATATGCTGTTTTTAAACATTTTGTGAGCTGTTGAATCGAATATTAGGTCGCGTAAGCGAAATGAATGTGATATAGTATAATAAATAAAGTAACCATACAAAAGGTTAATAATAAAAAGACAAAAACAAATTTTGTAAAGCGTAAGAAAATTGAACATTGTTATTATGAACCGAGAAAATACTGGAAAAAACTGAAAACTATATGCCAACAAAACGCTACTTCGGGAATTCTAAATGCTGCTTTTAAAATTTTTGTAATTTCGCTGTTGAATTATATATGGGTAAGTCTGAAGAAAATGATGCTTAAAAATAAAGCTAAAAGGATAAAAGCAATGGGTTATAGGAGGAGTGAATGTAACGGCAGACTTGGAGACTGTGAACTCAGAGAGAGCGTAAGAAATCTTAACAAACTCTTCTGGGTGACCGTTAAAATCTGAAACCTTTAAGATTTTTTTAAAAATGATTTTACTTTTATTTTTTTTACAGAAGTGATTGGTTTCCATGTACCATACATATATTTTAAATAAACTACTTAAATGTGGACCCCCGCAAATGCTTATTTTTAGACTTTCGTTTAGTGTAATGTTTGTACTACATCAGTTTCTTCTAACAGCTTAACATATTTGCCCACAAAAGAATGTTTTCCATTATCCCATTTTCTTTCGTTTTTTTATGGGGAAAGGAGGGAGCACTTCACGTAACTAAGTACACAACTCAGATTTAACCCTTTCCGGCACGCTACCTTTTAAAGTTCGAATTCTGGGGAAAAAAAAAAAAACGTAGGCAGTCTAATTAGGCCTAGAGGAGTACACAAGTAAAATTTTGTGAAGATAGCACTTATCGTTTTAATTCTGTGAGTGTGTCCAAAGGGAGCACACTGATTGAATAGAGCTTCGAAACGAGCGCGGAAAAGATCATTGTTCTCAATGAACTGACCGATGAGATGCGGAGAAACAAAGAATACAGACTCTCCGTTGTCCTAGATGATCGGTAAGCCAAATCTGAGCACACCAAGGGTTCGCCGATTGATTTTAGGCAAGATTTCAAGGTAAAAATTTAAAACTAATATAGAATAAGGAGATTAGCATACAGCCAAAAAAAATAGCATAGAAATTTCTTTTCAAACAATTCCTTTTATACCCTAAAAGAAATCTGGACGATTTCTTTGAAAATTCTTCAAAGATTTTTTGAAAAATCTTTCAGATCTCCAAATCTTTATATTTTAATATATAGACTGTTTTTTGTTGCTATCTACTACAAAATAAAGAAAGTTCAGAGTAACCTATAGAAAGCAATAAATCCTTTCTCATTCAATTTTTCTGTGCGTACAGAAGGAAATTTTTAGGTGTGTACAGACCGGACACATTGTGCCGCAAAGGGTTAACGGGGGGAAAAAAGAAAGAAAAGCATCAAAAGATTTTTAAACATTTCTAATGCAGTTGATCTTTGAAATGTACAAGTTTTGCGCCCTTTCTTTTACACATGGTTTGTTATCAATAAAGGTATTAGGAAATTTACTGAAAACGGTAGCAGAAAAAATTACGAATCTAATAAGCAAAACTTTAGGTATGTAATGAATTTTGAAAGTGTATGTAAATACGATCTTGTTTATTACCATAAAATTTATTACCAATTTATTATCATAAAATAAAGAGAAATTGTTTTAAAAAGCTGTATTGTAACTACCACACTTTGTAATACAATTCAGTTTACAAAACTAAACAAGGTCCCACCAGTGGCCGAGTGGTTACGACCGTTCAATACTGGTAGTTCAACCTGCTTTGGATGCAAATTCAGGCGAGTGGGCTGGCTACATGATTGGTTTTCCCCCCGTGTAACATAAATACGAGTCAGTTTCCTCAGAAAGTTCTCTACAAAGATATCCCATCTCTTAGGCAGATAGCGCTCGTGGCTTTGCGTATTCAAATAATTTAATCTAATTTCCTAAACTAAACACTATCTAACCTTTTATACTGCCGGAAACAACTTCTGCTTCTTACTGTATTGACAAATAGGAAAATTCATAACATTTACATGTTTAAATTTAAGTCTAACAACCTAGTTCTGCCTTGTGTACGATTATGAATTTAAATTTTAATGAAGCATAAACTCACCATATGGTAGCAACAGCCCTCAAGGCAAACGATAACAAAGGAGTATCACTAAGGCAGGCTGATGTTGACAAATCTCTCTTTTAAATTTAGATTCTCTCATTTATTTCATTCATGAATTCTGGTAGAGTTGACGGAATAGCAAAAGTGCGGGACATTTTAACATAATGCTCAAATGTTAAAATTCTGCATTAAAAATGTCTGCTTTTTTAGACTCTTTCTAAAAGTGTTTACAGTTTATATAATTTTCTAAAATAAAATAATAATAGTTGCATAAAACAATAAAAAATGTTTTCCAATTCTTCTAAATTTATGGAGAAAATTTAGCTTTCCATGTTTAGAATTTACCTATGAGAGTTCTTAAAATAATACACGGGTTTTGACTTATAAAGATTAAGGGAGATTAGGGGGGGAATCCTTCAAATGATTTTTGTTAAATTATATTGTATAAATATGAACCATAAGACACATTAGTTTTGTTTATTGATTATTGAATGAATTTCGTTGACACTAAGCTTCATTTACCTCTTGTTAATAGAATTACTCTAACCTTCCGTTTTCCCGCCAAAAAAAAAATCAGTTCGCATGTTTAAATTCAGATTTTAAAATTGTAAGACAGAGTGTGTTCTGTCTCTCTAGGCCACGTTACTGTGTTGCTAGATAAGATACGATTTTCAGTATTCAGTCTTCCATTTTAATTGCCCATAGCTGATATCAACGCCGGTTACGTTTTGAGCCAACTTCGCGTTAAACTGATTGGTGAAGCCTTCGGGTACTAGCCTTATTTAAATTAAATTTTCCATTTTATTTACTGTGACTTTAAGTTACCTCGCCACAAGTGGTTAGCTGAGTTGTAAGCATAAATGTGCCTTTTGTTCTTATTAGATTTAAATAAAGGGTCTTTTACATTTTTCTCGCGTTTCAGTTGCAACTTAGTAGAGACATTAGGTTATTTCCAAGCAGGAGACGTGAAAAATGAGCAATGCTGTCTCCGGGACTCGAACTACGGACCTCTCGAATGCGCGTCAAGCGTGCTGACCACCACACTACGAAGGCATGCTAAGAAGGCGGGGAGAAATATTTTACATACTCCCCCATTTTAAAGGGCGACTGGGGATTAGGTGACGCAGTCGCCAAATCCTGGTGGTGGAGAATCATCATCCACAGTCAACCCTTTTTAGTTTTGAGCGCCACTGTAGAGACTTTAGGTATTTTTGAAGCAGGAGAGATGAAAAAATGAGCAATGCCCTCGCCGGGACTCGAACCACGGGCCTCTCAAATACGTGGCGAGCGTGTTGACCACTACACCACGAAGGCATGCTAAGAAGGCGGGAGAAATAATACTCCCCCTTTTTAAAGGGCGACTGGGGATTTAGGGGACCCAATTGCCAAATCCTGGTAGTGAAGAATCATTATTCACCACCTTTTTACTTCGAGCGCCACTGTGGAGACATTAAGATTTTTTAGAAGCCGGAGACGTGAAAATTGTGCAATACCTTTGTCAGGACTCGGACCACGGACTTCTCAAATACGCGTCGAACGTGCTGACCACTACACTACGAAGGCATGTTAAGAAGGCGGGAGAAATACGTTATAAATTATTAAGCGATAATTCGCTTAACAACTACCAAGAGTATGGACTCTTTGGATGACTGCAAAGCACACTAAACTTTACAACTTTTTATAATTTAACGGGAAAAGTTAAAAGGAAACTATAAAAGGTTCTTTATGCTTATTCTGTTAAGTGAAGTCTCATGAAAAGTAATTGGTTAATAGCAAGGTCAACATATAGTTCAATAGGACTCACCTTCGCTATGCAAAAGTGTGCTAATTTTTGCTCCCGTTCTTTCGGCACGTGTGAAAAATAAAATGAAAGAGGTATTTCATATTCTGATTTCAAGAAGTGTAGAAGTAATTGGATAAAATTTTCGCATGTGAAAGGTGGAAGGTGTCGTTTGGAAAGCATTTGATGGATTGTTAGAAATGATGTGCGGTTGGGAGAATAGGAGAACAAACGCTGACACTGATCTGTAAACTCGGCTAAATGCGTTAAATCATGGTGCATAGTCCCAAAACGAAAATTTCACACTGCACATCTAGGATTTTAAAATAGGTACCTGTTTTAACATGTTCTGCAAGCTCTTTGACAGTGAAACACAGTCCACAGCATAAGCTCTTAGTTTGATAAGTACCACACTAGGAAAAACAATGAAAAAATTAATATATTTTACGGACGTAAAATTAATACATTTTATTTTACCGCTAAACACATGTTAAAATTGAATATCAAATTCTTCTACATAATAGTTGGTCTAGAAAAAGTTAATTCTATTTACAGAATATGAGACAAGTATAAGGTATTTTCTCCCTTCTTTCTGTATGCCTTCGCAGTGTAACTGGAAGCATACTCGAAGCGTATTCCAGAGGTCCAGGGTTCGAATCTCGGAGACGGCATTGCACATTTTTTATGTTTTCTGCATTCAAAAATATTCTTATGACACTATAGTGGCACCCGAACAGGGAATTTGTAGAGACATTAGGATATTTTTGAATGCAGAAAACATGAAAAATGAGCAATGCCCTCGCCGGGACTTGAACCTTGGAATACGCGTCGACTATGCTTCCAATTACACCACGAAGGCATTCGGAAAGGAGGGAGAAAATACCTTACACAAGTACAGCAGAAATAAATTACAAATGTATATCTATTAACAAAAGTTGACAAGAAGCTACAATACACCCTCTTCAAGGCTGTAACGTATTCATTTATTTTTATGAACCAGTTATTTTATGTTAAAGAGCCTTTTCTGTCATTATCGTTTTCCTGCCAGAATGCAAATTTCAGTTCTCGCGTATTCAAATGAGTTAAAAAGAGGTAGTATTTAAAGGAAAGTTTTAGATTTTTGAATCAGAGCGTGTTCCACCTGCTGAAGGCCACATTACTAGTTGAATTCTCTTGATAACAGCAGTTTTGATAAGTATGCATGATGATCTTTTTCTGTTGATGGAAGGTGAAAAATCAGGTAGAGAGAACCGAAGACACTTCTTCAGCCAATGGTTCTGGGATTACTAAAAGAGCAGAACAAAAGCAAGGCCAAAATATTCTCCACAATTGTCAGTCTGTGAATATTATTTCTGGGACTATCTGAAGCCTCAAGTGTACATTTAATAAAACTATCAACATTGAAACTCAGAGTAACATCACAGGAAACAACTGGGCAAAGCGGATCAGGATAGATAGCCTCTCTGCCTGTAAAGGACAAATCAGACACTGGTCCTGATACTTTGCCAGTGTGAATCCTATGCAAGTGTTTTGAAAAGTGGTAATTTAATCCTCTTGGCTGTTACGCTTTTGCGTAGTTATAAGCACTATCTTCGCTATGTCAATATCGATTGTATACCAGTACGCTATGCCCGCCTCGAACTTACGAAATATTGACTGTACACCCGTTAGGACGCTTGCAGATGATAAATAACCGATCACTGCTGTAAGGGCTTCCGACCTAAGGTTATACCTATCAGAATAATGCCCAGCGGAAACAGAACTCCATTACGCAGCCCGGGAACGCATATAAAATATTTAAGATGTTACAGAGTCATAATTTTTGTATACATAAACGTCTTTGCACTTTCGTGCTACAATGTGCATTCAGAAGTTACAGAACATGATTGCATAATGTAATGGTATATCATTAAACATAAGTACTTGATTAGGTATGATAGTAGTGGATAAGTAAAGCTGACATTAGTACAAACAGTGTATAATTAAGTGCAGTGATTATATGTGATGTTCAAAGCAATAAGTACAAAGCTATTTGTGCATACATTATAATCAGAAAGTAGTGATAAATATTAGTAATTACATATAGTAAAGTACCGTGTACAAACAATTGTAGAGAGTAATTACAAAATTACATATAGTACAAGCAGGTGTGGATACAATATTCGATACAAACTGTATATTGCTATTTGTGCTTACAGTACAATCCGTAAATGGTAGTATATTAGTGGTGAGTAGTTACATACAGAGGAGTGCCGAGTATAATCCGATTAAGAGAGTACATACAATATTCGAAACAATCCGTACATAGGTTTTCGTGCATACAGTACAGTCAGTAAATGGTTATACGCATTAGTGGTAGATAATTACATGAAGTACCGTGCATAATCAGTTGCAGAAAGTAAATATAATATTCAAAAATAATATATACATAGCTATTTGTGCTTACAGTACAATCAGCAGAAGGTTATATAAATAAGTGGTAAAAATTACGTATAGCAAAGTGCCATGTAAAATTAAATGCAGAGAGTAAATACAATATTCGAAACAAACTATACATGGATATTTGTGCATACAGTACAGTAGGAAAATAGTTATAAGTATTAGTAGTAAATAATTACATATGGTAAAGTACCGCGTGTAATCAAATGCAGGGAGTATACATAATATTCGAAACAACCTGTACATAGCTCTTTGTGCTGACAGTACAATCAGTAATTAGTTAAATTTATTAGTGGTAAGTAATCACAAATAGTATGGTGCGATATGTAATCGGGTGCAGAGCAGATACAAATTCAAAACAAACTGTACATTGTGCTTACAGTAAAATCAATAGAAAGTTAAATATAAATTAGCGGTAAGTAAATACATATAATAAAGTATGTGGTACCAACATTTGCGAATAAAGAAAGTCAGCATGTATAATGTTGGTGACCTGGTGTGTCAGCGCAGACTGTCTTGAGTACGAGCTACAGCACAATCGGGTTATAAATACGTATAGGAGTAAGTACAGTACTGGGGTCATATTGCAATGCGATAGGCTGAGCAGATCGCAATTTTGAATAACAGCGTGTGGTACAATAAGACTACGCAGTATTCAATGCTATCAGTATATGATTAACATTACAATCCATGCAGTCAGTGCATAGTTAGAAATAATAATAATGAATGGATACATATAATCAGTGGCTGCGAATAATTAAAATAGTAGTGCGAATTTAAATTAAATTCATAGGTGAGTTACAAAGAGAGATAGACAATATATACAATATTCTGTAAAAACGCCATAAAATATGAATGCTGTCATTGTAAGGAATGTATAAAAACTGAGGGTATTTAAGTACGAGCGGCAGTACAATCAGATAAAAATTACATATAGTGGTAAGTACACTACTTTGTTGTAAAACGAGAGGTTGTATAGAATGCTGTATTAAGTAACAGTGAATAGAATACAGCGGGTGGTGCAAACGGAATGCATTACAATCAGTACAGTCAATGCGTGATTAGTATTAATAAAAGTGAATGAGTTAATATGAAAAATATTATAATATAAATTAAACATAGTGATTGAGTACATTCAGTAAGTACCATAAACAATGCAATTAGTAATTCATAGCATATTTACAATAATGACGATTATAGTGACATAACATAGATGACGATTATTAATGACTTAGAGGACGATTATACTGGTGCTAAACATAGTGATTAAGTACATTCAGTAAATGCCATAAACAATGCAATTAGTAATGCATAGATTATATACAATAATAATAACATAGAAGACGTTTATAGTGAGTACAATGAGGAGTGTAAAATGGGTGAGTACAATGGGGAATGTAAAATGGAGAAGAGGGGAGTGGCCAATGCAAGTTATGCGTTAAGAAGTGCAGTTGTGGATGCAGTAATCAATGACATTCTGGAGCTGTCGATGGGGGATCGGCCGCTGCATAATCACTTTTGTCCATTCAGGCCAAAATTGCTCTGAGGGTCTTTGGAGGTGACACTGACTGGTGGCAGGGCAGTCAAATACGTAGTGGTCTGGTGAGCCAGGTTGGCCACAGGAGCACATGACATCATCTATGATCTTGAAGCGCGTGAGGTACGTGAGAAATGGCCCATGTCCGATTAGGAAGACTGTGAGTGCGTGTGACGAGGTACGCAGGGATGTGCCCACTTTCGATAAAAAAGTGTAAGTTTGGAGGGCTGTGTCACCAGTATTCCAACGCGTCTGCCATTGGACCATAAGTTGTTCCATCGTTTGTTTTTTGAGAAAAGAGCTAGGGAAGGTCAGTGGGTTTTCAGCAAGTGACGTGCCTCCCGCAGCTTGCCTTGCCAGTCTGTCAGCCATTTCGTTTCCCGTGATCCCAGTGTGGGCCGGGACCCAGAGAAGGATCGGTCGCAGAGTCAGTGGCAGATGAAGAAGGAGTCTCTGGATCTCTTTCACTAGGGAGCTTCTGCAGCCTCGTAGCGCTTGTAGGCTAGATTGCGAGTCACTGCATATGATGATGCGATTCGCGAAATGGTAGGAGAGGAGAATTGCCATCTTAATGGCCACCAGCTCAGCTTGGAAGATGGCATCATTGTCATGGAGCCTGCGTCGGCATGTATATATGCAGTTGTTGTTATCCATTATGCAGAGGCCACAGCCCGTGCCAGTGTTCATATGTGAACCATCAGTGTAGATGATAAGCTTTTCCTCCGTAAGAGGGACGTAGGAGAGAATGATATTATTATCTAGGTCGATGTGTGATGGGCGTGTGACCTGATCCGTGCTCTGGATTTCTTACTGCTCTGGGAAGTAGGCAGTGTTCCAGAGCCGGGAACATTGGTGGAGCCGGAGAGTAAGTGAGGATGATAAATAACCATCAATTCCTCTTACTCATTGTTACCCCCAACCCCTGGAGTCGACGTAGAGAACTCTGTGAAGCGACTGGCTAGGATCTGCACGTAGGTAGTCTCGTCCCCGGAGCTATACAAATCGTGAAGTTAGTGGCTCTAAAAGCCGCACAAAGATCACTTATTGGTCGGCGCGGTGGTCGGCTCAGGCAAACTCGAAGAAGTTCGCAGAAGGGGTGCCCGCGTTTGAACGCTAACCCGGCCTTATGTTTGACGATTTTCGATTCCTTGAGATGTGCGAATACTTGAAAACAAAAATACAATGGTACCTCTAATATACGAGTGCTTTGAGATACGAGCCGCCGAGCGAGTGATATTTTGCTTTGAGATGAGAGCAAGATTTGAGATACGAGGAATCGCACACTACACCGCTGCACACGACCGCAACATGCGCGCGCATGTTGGTGTCGTGTGCAGCGTCTAATAGTTTCTCCCACCTCGGACTAGACTTGTTTCTCTGGGAAACTCCCATGGGTTTGGAGGTGGATGAGAGAGATGTGAACGAATTCGTTGAGGAACAGTCTCAGGAGCTGACAACCGAGGAGTTACACGATCTACATTCGCAGCAGCATACGGTGGTTCAACGAAAAATTAGTTTTGAAGGGGAGCCAGAGATGGAGGGGGTTATCCCTACAAGAGATATAAAAGAGATCTTGGAAATGTGGGAGAAAGTTGTAGAGTTCGTGAATAAAAATCACCCCGAAAAAGTTGCAACTCGTCGTGCATCGGAGTTATTCAACGAAACTTGCCTAGCTCATTTCCGCAATATCCTGAAAGGGAGGAAGAAACAAGCCTCCTTGGACAATTTTTTTAAACGATCTGCAGATGAAAATGAGCAAAGCGTGACGCAAAAAGCGAAGACCAGTGACGAAAATTAAGCGCTTCCTTAAGCACTTCACTTTTTCTTTTTAATTATGTTTTTATAGAATATGCATTTATAAATAAATGTTTCTTCTTGTAAATACATTTTTCTTATTCAAAAACACTTGACAAAAACAACTGAGCTGGTGTTTTGGGAGCTGGAACGGATTAATGGCATTTCAATTAACTTCAATGGGGAAAATTGCTTTGAGATACGAGCAATTTGACATACGAGCAAGGTTACGGAACGATTTAAACTCGTATGTCGAGGTACCACTAAGGTAAACCACAGTAGATGAGTCCAAACGAAAACGCCTGCGGCAGCAGGTCCAAGACGTAGGTAAGTGCGCAGTAAATAAACCCGTTGTACATAAGCAATTATTGTGACAAAGTATAACAAGAAATGCCTTGTATTGCCTTAAATTGCGAGAGTCCTATCAAATTCAAGCATAAATAGACGTTGGATACGTACAATAATATTTACAAAAATACATGACAAACATAATATTTACATAGTATTTACAAAAAATACATACATGCAGCTAAGGGCGTACCTGAGAAGGTACAATACGTGAAGGAATGATGCACAAGGAGTAATGAAGAATAATTGCAGGGCATAAGTTACATAAATTAATTTACATAAGTACATAAGAACTTTTGCATTTACATAGGCTGAGATACCTAAGGACCGCAAGCGGCCTTTTGCGGTTCATATCAGATTCATAATCATAAGAAACCACCGGAATGGTGTTGTTACAAACATCTGGGATCTTTACAAAGAAATTTTCTGCAAGTTTAGCAATATAATAAAAGATTTCGGGAATTTTGAGCTCACGGTGGATTGCCGAGTTTCTAATGAACCAACGACAATTCACCGCTTGCCTGAGTACCACGTTTTCAATAACTTGAAGTTTCATAAGATTAGTTTTGCTAGCATATCCCCAAACAGGGCAGGCGTAGGTGAGAAGGGGACACAAAAGGGTCTTGTAAATGAGTAATTTGTTGTCTATAGATAGAACGGAGTTCCGGTCAGTTAAAGGGTAAGTGTAAATTAAAGGTGTAAGCGCGGTAGTCTGGCATCTTAGATCTCAAGGTTCTAGTAGCCCAATGGCGTCTTGGTGATGTGTTCTGGGTAATGACTTTGGCTGACGGGCAGCACATGTGACTGGCAGGTAGCAAATCATAACGATCAGTGTCGCGAAAGCGAGCGTCTCTTTGTTCAAGGTGGAAGGGCAGTAGGCTCCGCCGACCAGGCCTTTGCCACCGAAAGAGGCATGCCCAGAGTTGATTGCTTACGCATTGTTAACGTATTTTCAAAATTTATATTTAATCGCATGTCAATAAGTAGTGTGTGCGGTATATTAGTTTTGATTCTGCGCTGGTATTGATGCTACGTTTCAAGCAAACCAAGAAGATTAAGTTCAACCAAAACCTGCAACTCTTTGGAGAAATCATCCCAAAGGCCAAGCAAGTCCCTTATCTTGGGGTGATCCTCAGTAAAACTCTATCATGGTACCCACACATAACATCTGATCCTTAATAAGTTTCAAGTTAGTAAAGTCACCACTTCACCCCCTTAATTTCTCGAAACAAGTGTACTTTCAATAGGACAACAAGTTGCTTATTTATAAAACCGTATTGCGTTGAATACTATGCTATGCCTGTGCAGTCTGGGCATATTCATGCAAATCTTATAGAAAAAAATTACAACAGGCACAAAATTGTGACACAAGACAGATTACCAATTCACCTTGATACATTCAAAATCAAAAGTTACATGAAGAATTGGGTGTATAGAACAACTTAAGTGTTTTTACTGCCGGCTCGCCCGGAACTTTTATGAATCTTGTTAATATCAACAACCCATTCAGAAGTCAAACAACAAAAATCAGCGTTATATTTTCAAATTTTCACAGTGTGAATGTTTTCAAAAATGTTTTCTGTGAAAATTTGAAAATATAACGCTGATTTTTGCTGTTTGACTTCTGAATTAGTATTTGTTCGGCTTGTTATTGTGTCTTAATCAACAACCCAGTTATAAGGATTTACGATTACGACTTTATTGACCCAAATAATAGTAAACGGCCTATGGCCATACTTAGTACCCGTATTGTATAACTTATTTAATCTAATATGTACCTCTTAATATTGTGTTATAGATTTAAGGTTTAATTATTACTAGTGCGCCAAGAAACTCACACTACTTTGCCTATTATTTATACGAATGTTTTTTCTGCATCAGGCTATAGCCAGCTCATTCCTCCTTTCTCGGCCTTTCCAGATAGCACTTCAGGTCTATTGAAACTTGACGCACAAATTAGTATTTTTAGAAATGTATCTTTTAATTTATCTCTTCTCTTATCTCTATTCTTATAATTTTAAAAAAAATGTTAAAAACCTGATTTAATTATATATATTATATATATAAAAATTTCTAAATATATACTAGTTACTCATGACAGTATTCGAAATAACATATCTTTTCTACAAGGGGTAGGGTCCTTGACCCAGGCACCCTGGTGCTACACCGTTTTCCCAGTGCGTAAGGCAAGCTACGCTGTGTTGATCCTATGCCGCGTCCATCCTTTTATTGCAAACTAACAAAAGCAATAGTCCAATCATCACGATTCAAATATCCTTTATAAAATCTTGATGACAAACTAGAAAAATGTTAAATGGCGGAAAAAAATTGAAAACATAAAATCTTTTCAAAATTAATTGAAGAAGGAGTGTCACTGTTACAATGAATGGCATTCGACATGCTTTTGTTTTGTGAAATAAATAATTGTTTAGATTATATTTAATGGTGTGAGTCTCAGTCTTACCATCATCAAAATCACCCAACCAACAACATGTAATTTTTTCAATCTTAATTCACGAAACAGGATTGAATTAATTTAAAAAACTGTTACGTATTAAATGGAAATTGAGATTACAAAATGTACTTAGGTTTTCAGTAACTTACCAGAAAAAGCACACTAGAATGCAATTGAAAATTGGTGACTGCATGTACTGAAGAAAATTAATCGGATGAGACCGTAGATCTGAGACAAAAAATATGTCCTTGATTAAATCTAATCTATGTTCCCAACTTTTAAAGGGTCCACACTTGGATGGATTCATACTGTAAAAAGAGTAACACGGGATTAAGTTAATATTATTAAGCATTTATGATCAAGCTGAAAGCATTGAGCATTTATAATCACGTTAGTCATAATCTTAATAAATAAAAATTAAAAAGCAAATGGTTCTGTACCAGGTATATATTATACCACGATAGAACTATCTTTTAATTAAAATAATGCTACCAAAGTTCTAAAAAATTATCAGTTGGATGCAATAGCAATTAAATTTATTTTAAATTAGAACCAATAGATAGGTAATTATAAAAATTAATGCAAGGAGACCACCAAACTCTGTAGGTCACTTTGATTACTAGAGATCTGCAGTTTGAAGATCATCAGTGGCGGACAGCTGCATTCAGTTATCTGAAAGAACGTATATTGCTTTTAAACCACATAGCTTCTTAAGCAAATTATAGACATTAAATTTCAAAAACAAATTAAAGATTTTGTACTATGCTAAATGGCAACACACTGAGAATTAGATATTTGTGCATCCACATGGAAGAGAAAAATTAAAATCCTTTTCTTCGCGCGTTATCAATGACTCTGCCAAACTAATACTCTGAGAGTTTAACTCTTTGTGAAGCCGCTTTGCAGATAAATTTAAATTCTTAAATTTTGCTCTATCGAAATCTGCCAAATAACATTGAATCATTTTTTAAAAAATTTGAAATTACCAAAATATGAATATTTTCTTTATTTAAAATACTTCTACAAGTGGATGTGTACGACTGCGACCAACGATCGCGAAAATAAAGACCGGATAAGGACTTTCAAGAAGGGTAAAGGGGAACTAATATATATATATATATACACTCTTATATATATATATATACACTCTTTTGCAAAAAAATCGAAGCACCAAGAAGGACTTTTGTGATCGTGACGAAATTTGGTATGCAAAAACGTCTTGAGAGAACATGCAAATGATCAAAGTTTCAAGGCAAATGAACGAATTGCGATCATAGCGAGCATTTCTAGTGCGCAATTCACAAAGTATAAAACCAGTAACAGAGGAGGAAATTTTTTTTGTTGCTGCCATTGTAATTCCGTAAAGAAGCAACTAAACATGCCATTACGACGATATCAAAGACCTTACAGACAATTAAACGACGCCTTGGGCCATTTTGGCCAACGTGGTCCCATTTTAGGGTTTCGAGAAGATGGGTGGTCATATCGAGCAATAGGCCGCCACCTGCAGCGTACAGACACTACTGTGCAAAGATGTTGGCAGCAATGCTTACTACAAGGAAATTGAAAAAGAAATGAAGGCTCTGGAAGGCCAAGGAGCACAAATGCGAGGTAAGATAGGATGATTTTTCGCCAGGCCCGAACCGCCCGACTATTCAACAAGCTACAGCCACGTCTATACCTACCGTGGCACCGTTCACCATCTCACGGCACTTGTCTGAGGCTGGGTTACGGTTACAGAGGCCTTTAAGATGTTCGCCTTTGACCCCACAACATCGGCGGAATCATCTGGAGTGGTGTCGCAGCCGATCATAGTTGCCATCAGACTGGCAATCAGCCTTAGTTTTAGAAAGGCATACAGCCATAACCCCTAGTGTGATGATGTGGGGCACTATTTCTTATAACAGCAGGTCATCTTTAGTCATCCTCCTTATATCCTAACAGCTCAACGATATGTTGATTCCATCCTGCGGCCGTTTGCATTACCCTTCATGGCCCGTCATCCTTGGGCCATTTTCCAACAAGATAATGCCGGGCCACATACTGTTCGCATATCTCTGGACTATCTCAGTGCGATTGATACTCTTCCTTGGCCAACAAGGTCACCAGATCTTTCACCAAATGAGCACGTCTGGGACATGGTAGGCCGCCAGATTCGGGCACCATAAAATATCGCAGATCTGGAGCGACAACTGATAAATGCCTGGCAGAATGCGTCGCAGGATGACATTAGGAACCTCTGCCACTCCTTGCCTCGACAAATTCAAGCATGTATTACCGCTAGGGGCGGTTCGACTAACTACTAATTTGAACACTCAATGGGTGATTGTGAGCCGTGAACAGGTATTATGAACTTGATTTTCAAATCATTTTATTATCTTTGTATGAGCTATACACATATTCAATTTCATAAAAAACAACCATTTTCCTTTTTTTTTTTTTTTTTTTTTTCTTTGCGAAAGTATGTATACATAATTACAAAAAAAAAAAAAAAAATTTAAAAGACAAAATATAATCATGCCTAGTATCGCGCATTAAGTTTCTGAAAAATTATGAGTAAAGACATAAAGTAAGAAATTTAGAACTAATTTTTCACAAAGACCAAAAATTAAAATTCATAAGTAATAAATTTCAAGCAATCCTATAATAAACAATTCAAAAAATGTTAAAACCAAAGCTCTTCAAATAAGCAACACCCCAATTCAAAAAAATCAATGAAATTTAAAGAAAAAACAAACATAATAGAAGAGGAATTCAATCAACTTCAATGCCACTTCGTCAGAAGGAGGAACATTGAAATCAATTGCAATCTCCCTTCCAAGAAATCCTAGCTTTTCTGTATCCAGAATTAGCCGATGTAACATTTCAATGTATTTAATTATAATAGTTCACTCGAAAATTCTGGCCCCTCTCCAAAGCAAGAAAAAACAATGTAAATTATAATTAGCATCTTGGACCTTAAATAAACAGAATTCTATTTAAAGAATTCAAAACGTAAGTGAAATAATAAAATACTTTAGTGATAAATTCAAATCAAAATTTTACCTTTAAACAAATAGCACATAATCCGTGGAATTTAAAACATAAGTGAAATTATAAAACGATAGTGAAAAGACTTAATTAAAACTGACAAGAAGTAATTAAAAACTTCGAGCACTTATATTTAGAACACAATCGAAACTATGAATAAGCTTGTTACAGTAGTGACGTACAGGTTCGCTATTTTGGCTTCCTTGGCGAAACTAAAATACCTTGGCGAGAAAGCAATCCCTCAAAAGGCTAAAAACTGAAACAGAAGATGGAATTTTGAGGTACTGCCGATTGCAATAATGGAGGGAATTGCACAAATAAATGTTATATCAATCCCATACACAAATTTTCATCGTCCTACAGCTAATCGTTTTGAGGTACGCTAGGTACATACGTACACACGTCACGGAAACATCTATCTTTAATCCATTTTACAATCCGCTTTGGAAAAAAGAGTCCTTTACTCTATCCGTATGCTGTTTTGTTAAGAATTTGATAAAAACTTTATTGACCCTATTATTAATATTTAATAGCTTTACATTAAATTGGACAGTGATAGAAATATTAAGTTATAGTAGAGTGGCAACTCAAGCAATCCTATACTTACAATATAACAATATATCCGACTCCGGCAATAGAAAATAACCACATGGCAAGCGCTGCGATGCAGAAGAACCTCTGGGTTTTGTGCGTCCAGCACAGACTTTTATCAGGTTTGCAGTTTTCCATAACTGAATTCGCTTTGAGGTACGTGAGCGTGTAAAATATTAAAATATTGAGCATTGAACACAGAGGCATAAAGTATGTTCCTATCCTGTAAACATGAAAAATATTAGTATGTTAAATAACAAATCCAATAACATAAAAAATGACTTTGTCCAGAAAAAAAAAATGTAAAAACCGCGAAACTTCTTAAATAAAAAATCTACGAAATACAGGAAATGATCTTATCTTGTCGATTTCGGAAAATGTAAGTGTGAAATAAAAACATTAAACTTCAGAGGTAAAAAAAAGGGATTTAATTAAGTAACATGACATTAAAGGTTATTCAAGTAAGCATAAAAGCATACATAAATTTATATAAATACAATGCTGGCTACCCAAACAGGTAAAAAGAACATGAAGCACCAGAACCTTCCCTAATGAATCCTAGAATCCTAGAATGGAACAGGTTATTGCCTCCAATACACTTACCAGCTAGAGCAGCGATTCTCAACCGGTGGTACGTGTACTGTTGGTGGTACGCAAGCAAAAAATAGGTGGTAAGCAAAGAAACAAAGTATTTAATTGTAAGTTCGAAAATCTGGTGAAGAAAAAGAACAATTGATAGAAATTTCCTGTGATCGAACTCGAACTGAAGATTTCAAAAATAACAAACTCATTAACGTTTGACTGAACCGAAAAAAGAATTTAAAGGCACCCCAAATAAAGTTGTTAAATTTTATTGCCTTCTTGCACAACCTATTTGTGTGAACAAGTATTTTCTTCCACGTTTTATTTGAAAAATAAATAGAGAACAAAATTAAAAGTGAATCCTAATTTACGGTTAAAGCTCAGTGAAATAAGGCCGGACATAAAGAAATTGATCTCTACAGACCTCAATTTCGCACTAAATTTTACAATTTAAGTATTATAACTTAAATTTTGATAATTAAAATGGTAACCAATTTTTAATCTAATATTTTTTGTGTGCATATTTGAAATACACAGCCAATTTTCGCAAATGGAAGTGTACATATTTTTTCAATATTTCTATACAGAAAGTGAAAAATAATCATTGTAAAATGTAGTGGTGGTACTAAGGTTTTTCAATTTTTGTTTACATGGCACGCTTTAGTCAAAAGGTTGAGAATCGCTGAGCTAGAGTATGATAAACGTGAGTTGACTATGTGATATTCTAAGTAACACTGGAGTTATACATCCGAGTTGTTACATTTAAACATAAGAGGATACTAACATAAAATTAAGCAAAATTATATAAATAACACAAATTGTTTAGTATACTCATTAAAATATTGGTATTACTCAAATATATATCAACGTAAATAAAGTTGATATTTTGGAGATCATTGCGCTGGCTATCCAAAGTGCAATATAAAGAAGGACAAGAGATGGCAAAGATACTTCAGAGATTACACATACTATCAATATTAACTGATTTGAAATACAACCTTCTTTGAGGTGAGGATGATAAGTAAATCAGTAATGAGTGTTGCCTCCATATTTATGAATAACCGCTGCTACAGGCAGCGGGCATTGAGTGAAAGAGGCTTTGGATGTGTTGCTGAGGGATGGCAGACCCTGCTGCCTCCACGCGCAACCAAAGTTCATCTGGTGTACCCCGCTGGCGCGGCATGCCGGTCTAGGTTTTCTCCAATCATTGACCAGACGCGATACATCTGTAGAACGGACAGACCAGGGTGACAATACAAATATGGTGGTCTAAGAAGAAAACTTGAACTTTCCGTGCATAACATCCGTAACTATACATTTACAAACATCCATGCCTTCTTCGGGATCCGAGCCCGGGCCTACGGTACGGCAATCAGCGACAGTAAATACTTTTCCTACACACATTAATCACCCAAGTAAGTCAAAATTAATCCCATTAACCACTTTGCCGCCCTTTGATAAGGCAGTCAGAGCCACTCCCACTGGGCGGCACTCTAAGATCAGGATTTTCTTGTGCAATTGTAATTTTCAATCGCAATTGCATAATTATGATAACCTGCCGAAATTAAAATTCAAATGAAATTGTTATTATAATGCTGTTGCAATTATATTACAATTACAGCCTAATTATTGAGCGGAATTATAGTAATTATAGAGATTATAGTATGGAATTACCTTGTAATTACAACTGCAACGTAATCGTAGTTACACTGCAATTAGATAGTAAATATAATTACATAATTTAATTAACTGTAATTGAACTATTTCAACTGTGAGTAATACATGTTGTGCCAAGTAGTAAAACTAAGTAAGTGAAATTAAATCCTCTTCAAAGAAAAAAAGTCAATTTTTAAAGCATCCGCATTTGTTCTCAGATTTAATTTTTTTTAACCTAAAATGCAGTAAGAGGAAACGGTTAAAACATTTAAACTTGCAGCACCATTTTTTGAAAAAAATATTGTATATATATATATTGTTTCATAAGAAAAAATAGGAAAGTTAAATTAAACTTAAATAATTCTCTTGCGCCATTGCTGAAAGGAATGAAATTTGAACTTAACAAACATTCTTTATTCGTAAAAAGCAAATTTAAAGATAATTAAAATTATTAAATTTTAATTGTAAACAAATAAATGATTAATTATTGATGTGAACTAACTAATCTACAATATCATTTAAATTATGAGAGCATATGTAAATAAGTGCAGGTATCAAACCCATGATAAATATAATATTCCAAAAAAATGTTTTTTTTCATACTTTTAGTTTTTAATTATCTTTAAATTTGCTTTTTACGTATAAAATGTTTATTAAATTCAAATATATATATATATATATTTGATTTTCAAAAGAATTGCTTTGTAATTATATATATATGCATACATATATATATATATATATATATAAAGTAAGAAATTTAGAACTAATATTTCACATTTTCTTACTTTATGTCTTTAATGATTATTTTTTTGCAGATTAATGCGCGAAAATCTAGGTATGTTTGTGTTTTGTTTTCAAAAGCATGTTTTGTAATAATTATATATATATATATAAAATTGTTTAGCAGGATTCTTTTGGCTTAAATGGACTAATGTATTTATTTTGAGTATTAATTGTGACTTATGATTTGAATCTAGAAAAAAATGTGATGCTTACTTAGAAGAAAGATGAAACGCTCTGATTGTTAATTTAATGGTTTAATTGATGTTAATTGATGGTAGATTAGTTTAGAAAAGAGAACAAGAAATGTGTATGCATGCAGAGGATTATAATCTACATCTCGCTGAAAAATTTCCTGATCATTACTCTATATTTCTTATGCAGATAAGAGTGTATTGAAGAAGTACAATTAGAAATGTTTCTAGACGTGCTAAGAATGTTATGTATTCATTCTCTTTATATCACTAATGGTATGAAATAGTACTAATTAAAAAATGCTTTAAAAATGCAGATAAAATAAAATTTTCATTTTTATTATTCCGATGAGCAAAGCACGTTTACCATATAAAAGAAAAATCTCAGGCATAATCGATCAGCAACAATGCTTGAATTTTTTTGGTAGCTCATAGAAATCGCTAAATGAGAACAACAAGACTCCTCAAGGTTTTAGAAGAATACGTACCAGTTAAGAGATTGGAAGTAAATCAAATCCGCTGTGTGGTATGCAATATCAAGATGAGACAACGTCCATGAAACGAAGAAGTGTTCAAATATTTTTCGCCGCAGGTATTCCAACGTAAATGTGAATAACACAATCTGAACGAAGAAGTTCATTGCCATTAAAAGAAGCAGATCTTCTCCCAACTTTCTTTCATAACACTAGAAAAAAGACGCAGATATCATAAATAAATACAACATTTTTAAATTAAAAATATTATCAAGCGTTCTTATTCCCAAACCGGTTAAATTACAGGGAACATTACATTCTGTAAGAATCTTACTACAATAGAAACATGGTAATCCACAATTTAAAATTAGGTATAAAATCAGAATAGCGTATATTTTAAATAAAACTCTCTCGATTTCGAAAGCGATCAGACAGAGATTCCTCTTCTTTTGAAACACAAACTTATTTCCAAAGGTGGGAGAAGGGAATATTTTATACGGAAATCGATGGACAGAGAGAAGCAAAAACAAACGTAGAGCGATCTGTGAAGGAATGAGTTCAGTTTTTATTTTAATGACAAATTTTCCGATCTTTAAATTCGATTGGCTTAGCTTATTAATTTCCATATAAAGTTGTTGACGTTCCTTCTATTCTTGCAAAAAAAATTTTTCTTCTTGAAGAAAGACATATGTGTTATTAGTCTCAAAATTCACAGTTTTATTCAAAATCTGTGCAAATCTACTGTCTATTTTTTGCCTAATTTCAGACCTCTTTAAGATGAAAACTCCCAATACAAAATGAGGCCCAGCAGCGGCCGAGCGGTAAAGTCGCTGAGCACTGGTAGTTCGGTCCGAGGTTCGAATCCCGCGAACGGGCTGGCTGTATGTGTGTTTTAGTGGTTTTCCCCATGTGTAACGTGTAAACGAACCAGTTTTCCTTAATAAGTCCTCCACGAAGGCATACATCCCCTTAGGTAGATAGCCCTCGTGTGCTTTGCCATAATTGAGTAATCCCAATCCCGTCTTCCGTTTCTGCGGAAGAATCGTCTTTTAGAAACTATTGTTGCCTGCGTACGGGTTCGTAATGGATTGAATGTACACAGAACCGATGGTAGCTTGATAAAATTTATTTTTACGAAAAGTAATATTTTACAGTTCTAGAAGTTTCCACAAAAATATTCACACAGATTTTCTCAGTATCACAGAGTACAATCAGTAGTTATACTTCAACTGCTAAGAACGTTAAACACAATGCAATGCACAGCGAGCGCTTCTAAAAGACGAAGCCTCCACATACGATACCCATTACAGTTATACAGGAACCGGACCAAAGTGCCGCCAAATGGTAGACAAGTCTGGCGACTTTCAGTGATGTACTGCCAAATTTTGGCAACAAAACTTAGTAGTCAAAACTATTCCCAGCTTGGCGATATCTCGCCAGTTGAGTTAAATAGCCATTTACTCAATGTTAAATAGACTCGTAGATTTCCATTTTACATTATATAAAAAAATATTACATTTTCACGCACAGCTTCACCAAAATTATTTGCGTATGTACAAAACTAGTAACATTATTTATTTATTATGTATTTTGCTTAATCTTGAATTTGTGTTCATTTTTTTTATCTTATACAAATTTTTTAACTCTGAATTGACTGACGTTGGAATTGTGAAGCTAATTCAAAGATTATTTGCCGGATTAAACATCAATCAGGAAAATATGCTGAAAAACACCTACCATATCTCGAAGGGAAATCGGTAATACTAGGAGATTACCGACAATTTGGTGACGTTATGGTGTTTCCTGAGAACACACTAGATGCAGTTCTTTTCAGAGAGTGCCCATAGCGCTTTCATTCAAATTTAAAGAGTGGAATAAATGGTAAGCAACATGTCTCGTAGCTCTTAATCGTTTACTGACAGTTGATCAACTGGCCTTATTCTTCAGTAACGCCCCCCCCCCCAGGGGTCGACGTAGAGAACTCTGCAAAGCTACTGGCTAGGATCTGCACCTAGGCAGTCTCGAACACGGGGGTATACAAGTAACGAAGGCCCTGAGAAGATACCTTATAGGTCGGCGGATGGATTGGCAAGTCTTTAGAGCTCAAGGCTTTAGTAGCCCAGGATGTTGTTCCAGGTTTTGCCTGGGGATGGCACCCTGGGGTTTCTGGGTAATGTCCTTGGGCTACGGGTAGCTCGTGTGACTGATAGGTAACAAATTGACGACAGTGGGCGCCAAAGGGCGGTGGCTTCCGCCCTCTCCAAGGTACCAAGGTTAATTGTTTAACGATCTTTACGAATCCGTAAGATGCTGCAGGGTCAATTTTCCATAACCCTGCTTTAACCTAAACGCGATAAATCTTGAAATACTTGACTCGTCGGCAAGAAGTTAAATCTGAATTCTTATCCTCTTCGCTTTTAAATAAAATTATACAGAATGTAAAATCTGCAAGTATGAAACATCCAAATTCCAACTTACCTCTTCCAGATTCGATTTTGTAAAATGATAGAAGTAGATTTCAAGAAACGCTGACCGTAAAATCAACAATCTGGAGGAAAAAAACAGTAAGGCTCTTATATGACAAATGGTATGAAAATTTGTGATCGAATAGAACTCCAGTTATTCGGGTTAACTGCTTACACAACCCTTCTAAAACGCTGACTGATCACTGGGTTAATTTTTTATATCAAATATGTACTACTTACAATAACGCAACAGCGAAAATTTTTTTTTATTGTTTACTTATTTTTTATTTTTATTTCATTAAACAAAGTTTATACAGATCAACAAAAAAAAAAAAAAAAAAAAAATCAACAGAATTAAACCATGAAATTTGTAGAGTCATTAATTAGCATTTTCTAATACTGGAGACGAGAAAAATGTGCAATGCCCTCGTTGGGACTCGAACCCTGGACCTGTCGAATACGCCTCCAATCACACCAAGAAGTCATGCGGCAAGGACAGAGAAATTGTCTTATACACTTTCCCTTTTAAAGGGCGGCTGAGGTTTAGGGAATCCAATTGCCAAATCCTGGTGGTGACGTATTATCGTCCACCAACTTTCAGTTCGGACGCCACCTGTAGAGTGACTAGGATTTTTTTTATGTTGGAGACGTGAAAAATGTGCAATGCTGTCGTCGGGACTCGAATCCTGAACACCTCAAATTCGCTTCAGATTAACCATTAAGGTAAAGGCCTCCACTTATCACTTATCAAATTCGCTTTGACGATGCTTTCAATTACATACGAAGCCATGCGGAAAATAAAGAGAAAATGTCGCAAACGTCATTGCCGTGAGGCTTCGTGGCTCTAACGCAGGAGTTCTCAACCTAAGGGAAGTTTCATTATTTGTGGGGGGAACGATGCAGTTAGCTTTTTATTTAGCTGTTTAGTATTTCGTTTTAATTTATGGATATAAGAAACTACTTTTATTTAAATTTTGGTATTTGCCAATATTTTTCATATGGTTTGTGTTTAATTTATAAATGGAAAATATCTAAATCTAAATAAACGTGTATATATCTTTTTCAAGCTTTGGAAAAGATGAGAATTATCTTCTAACAGTAGTGAAAGCGATGCGTGAGGCAGAAATGGTTGAGAACGACAGTTGTAATGGTGTATTTCTTTAATATTTTAAACCAACCATTTTCGGCGACCGCTCTTTTGAAGTTGTAAATATTAGCGTTTGCCGATAGATTGCATAATTGAGGATCAATCCTAGTTACTCTGGCGCCATAGCACGATCTATTCAATGATCAAGTTCGATTCGAGCTCAAACACTCAAGTGTCCGTGTCTTTCACAACGAACGATGTTGCAACTACATAGTATGTCACAAGTGTCTGATGATGTTAAGATTAAAAACAACACCGTGAAATGTAACTGAAATATTTATTTATTTCACAAAAGAATGGGATTTGCAAAGGCATTTAATTTAACAGTGTTATTCATCATCGGTCTCATATTTTTTAAATAACAGATTTTCCCATTGTTCTTCGTTGATTATGGTGTAGTAACCAAAAGAGTTATCGTTATCAGTGTTATACCACAGCAAAAATGTTTTATTTGCGTCCACTGCACACATCGCACATGCTAAGTCAGGTGCAGCGGTCTACGTGCTGTTGTTTAACAGTATTTTGCAAATATCTGAGAACGATCTTCAAGGAAAATATGATAAACAAAATGTAAATCCTTTCTTCACCATAAAAACTATGGCCTAAAAAGATCCGGTAAATCTTGAGATTTTGAGTGGGGCATGGTTCCAATTAATCCGGATAAATGGAATTCTATTGTCATTATGATCATACAATAATATTATAATTCTGAAAGGTTTCAGATTTTAAATTACGTCCAAAGGGGCGTTTTTTTAACGTTTTGTGTGTTACCTTTTTCTTTATTAAATATCATGTTCTTTGCCACGTAAACCATAAAATTCAGTTCAACAGGAATGTCGCAAAATAATTTTAAAATGAGCATATCTTAGAATTTCCGATACATAGTTCCGTGCACTGGAGATAAAACAGGTTTTCCCCTCCCGCAGAGTGTTGCCATTGCTCATTTTGAAATCGTTGAGTTTGTTAATAAAAAATTCGTTAAATTTTTATGAAATATGAAATCGATAATAAAACAAATTCCAAATTTGGGCTTTCAGATGCTCATATTTGCAGTAAGATTACGTCATTCAAAATTGGGTGGCTGCAGGTACCGTTGTTTTATCACAATGCGAGAAACATACATACATTTATGCAGATTCTTTTTTATTTAATTTCTTCAAATATAATACAGGACGATAGTATTTGCTGGCAACGATTTGAAAAGTGATACAGTTTTCAACGCAAGACGAAAACAATAGTCCTTCAGGGACAAAGCCCCTTTGGACTAATAATAATTATAAATAATAATAATAATAATAATAATAATTGATTTGAAATTTGAATAATATTTTTGTTGCTTGTCTATAATCAAGTCAATTCTTCACATTCAATTAGTTGAACTTCCAAATTATAAAAGTTATTTTAAATATAAAAAAAACTGGGTTTTTTTTTTTTTTTTTTTTTTTTTACTTTTTTCTATTAAACTTACCTGAGGGTTCACCAGCGGTTGTGCAATTTAAGTCGCTGAATATTACCTCTTTTTCCCCATGTGTAACATATATATGAGCCAGTTTCATTTAAAAGTCCTCCACGAAGGCCTCGGCAGACGCCGTATATCGCCAAACACACATTTACACATGCACATACATACAAGTAAATATGTTTATAAATTTAATTACTATATGTATATATATATAAACTTACTTGATGACAGAAATGTACAGCTTCGTTGTTCTCGAGCAATACGTTTCAAATCTTTCACTGCATCTCAGAAAGCCGTAGAAACCAGCGGCAACCAATATCATTATCAAGGTCAATAGAAAGCCTCTTAAGACTTTCTGTTAAAAATAAAATTGTCATTAACATAGGAAAAAATAGTATAAAATTAATAAATAATCAGGAAAGCAAGAAGTCAGCTGTAATCTCGACACATCTTTCCTCACGCTCTTTACAAATAGAAATTAAATATAAAAAAAAAATATTGTCGGTAAACTTCAGATTGCAGTTTATGATCTCAAGGTAGAGTTCATCATATTTATAAAATATTAAGAAAACAATTATTTAAAAATGTAAAATGTTATGAAAGGAAATGCAGATCTAATCTTCGTATTCAGAGAATACGAATAATATTCAGCAATATTATTTTAAATAGGAACTGAGAAATTTTAAGGACACATACATACACATAAAAAGGGGGGTTTAGCTGCCAACAGAAATGGATAAATTAAAATAATTATCTATGAAACGTCTTTCAGTCTTGCAATGTCATTCTAAGAATGAAACAGAGATATCTAGACCCCAAAATTTTGAAAATAAAACCAACTATTTAAAGGTTAGTTGTATTCTATTCAAGAGTCAAGAAGTTACCATCAGATTATCAAGGTGACTATTCAAAATTCTTGCGTTTTTTTTAAATGTTTGTTAAAAATGTTTGTTATAAAAATCACAATCTGAGGAAATTTTGCAATTTGAAATAGCGGATAATTACACATATAATTTATCAATTTGGTTTTTAAAGTATTATAAAAATTATGCAACAAAATATGCAAAAAATCTGTAAAGCTACAACATTGCGTCTTTTTAATGTGGTTTCTTTGGAGGAAATTTTATTTTATTTATATCCCTTACCTTCCTTTAACTACTTTTTTATAATCATCTACTTTTTATATTCATTTAGTTTAACTCTTAGAAAACGAATCCTTGGCTAACTTGTATGCTTAAATTGCAAACGCCTTTCGAGATTCACAGCAATTTCCTCCTCTCCCCATACATTAACGTACGAAAAGGTGTGAAGATTTCAAATGACATCCTTTCTACTTCCTAACAAATAAAGATAAGAAATGACAAATCTTTTTATGATTAAATCTTTTTAATGCTTTTAATGATTAAATCTTTTTAATGCAAACTGCCTGCAATAAAGTGATACAAGGCATTTGGGGAAACTGCATCTGTTACTGCATCCCTTAGGGGAAGGGAAGTTAACAACGACGCAATCTCGGCCGTTTCGGCAGGTTGTGGTCGTCTGAAGGAAAGGCTGTATCGGGCGTTTCATCTTGAAAAGGTTAATAAGAACACTTGCTCGGACCCTTTCGGAGTCGCGTTCGAAAATGATGCTCGGCTAGAGCTTTTTCTGTGCAGAAATAAGAGTTATGTAGATGATCCCCTCCTTGTTGCCTTGTTGTAGGATGTCCACAATACATTTAGCCTGTTCTTCTGGACTTTATACTTCTTGAAGTTTCCCGGATTGTCCGCAAGGTAAAAGAGCAGCAGTTTAATTTTCAAATCATAGCACAAAAAAGAAGTTACCATGACTGGGTCTGACTGGGTCTTTCGCTGATTTGTATTCGGGAATATATTTTCCTCTGTTGTGATATAAACTCGCTTCGGCATACAAATCCGAATCAGGTGTTTAATTCAAATCAGGGGTTTCATCCCAATTAAACACCTGCTCTGTATTTTGCAATAAACTTCAGAATCTACAAAGAAACTAATTTTACTCCTAAGATTTTAAAACTACAGCAATTTTCGTAAAGTCACGAAAACTTTCTGAAATTTGACAGATATTAATTAAGCGTGGGTTTAAAAATCTCATTACAACCTATACTCCGACAAAAGCACTGTCTCAACAGCCAACCATCGTTGTCAAACATTTACATTTTACTGTTTTATGTATTTATTTTATTTGACTGTTCATTCATTCAATGTTCTGGAAGCTTAGAAACCTTTAGTATTAGAATATTAACTTATCAATAAGTCTGTAATAGCCTCGTTTTTCGATTCTAAGGCCCACCCTTTTTCTTCAAAGTAAACTTCGCTGAAGACGCGTAGTGCGCCTTTAGAATCTCACACTTTTTCCGAATTACTAACTATTCTATTCTGAATTAATTTATTTTTCCCAATGGTAATTTAAATAAGTGTACTATTATTGTTAATAAATTGAAGTCGATATTTTGCAGTTATAGCTGAACATTTCTTTATTGATTTTATTTGCTTAGAACTAAAGTCTATTTTTTCCACTTTCCCATTTGTTGCACCGAAATCAAAGGGTGTTTCTCAGAATCAGGAGTTTCCTAGAATTAAAGAATGCTTCTTAGAACAGAAGTCTATTCACCCCTTCCTATTGATTACACAGAAATCAGGGCTGTTTCTTGGAATCCACGGTGGTTACTGAAATCAAGGGGTGTTTTCTAGAATCCATAGAAGTTACTGAAATCTTTACTCAATCTTACACTCAATAATAGTACACTTATTTAATAGGGGTGTTTCTTACAATTCATAGTGGTTACTGAAATGAAAGGCTGTTTCTTAGAACCGAAATTTATTTTTTCCTCTTCTCATTGGTTGCACTAAAATCATAGGGTGTCTCTTAGAATCCATGGCGTATTAGAATAAATGTTAAAAAATCGCAAGAATAGAAAAAAATATACAGTCAAAAGCCTTTAATCTGGTCTCGTCGGGACTTCGGCGATTCCGGATTATCGGTTTTTCCGGGTTATAGATCATCAATTTAAATCTGGTAAGATGGCATGCAGAAATTATAAAATTAAAAATATGAAACCGTAATTTATGAAATAAAGGGGAATTATAATCTAAAGGCTATCAAAATTTAGAAAAAAAAAGGCTTAATATTTATTTGTTTACTTTATTAAACATTTTTTTCTACGCGCGCATGCGTAAGACATACATTACACATAGACGAAATTAGAAAATTGCAACTAGAAAACTATTTGATGTGTGTTCGTGATAATTATAATGACGAGGAGTATGATATGATATACTACATTTAGTAAGGAATTATAAGCCGAATAAAATAAAAACATCTGCCCTGAAGATAAGGATAGTTCTAACTGATCAACTTCCAGTTCATTGCGCGCAGCGATGTTTCCTCCCCCTCCCCCGCAGAGCAGCCTGAAATTGATAAACAGATTTCGGAGTGGTTAAAGAAACAAAGGACATGCCTTTATCCATTTTTTGATGCGATTCCACTTTTTGTTTGATGGACATCGAAACATGCTTTCGCTTTGTAGATCCTTTGGCAGCTCCAGAATCGGAAATTCTTTTTTGACATAATCGAAAGTTCAAGCTTACTTTTATAAAATTGCTCTAACAGTCTGCAAAATAATAAGCCGGATCCAATTCGAAGATTAAGGAACAACGCAATCTGCAGCATTAACTGAAATAGATAATTAGATAATTTTAGCTCAGCTTATACCGTCCGTTATACATTAAACGCGCATGCGTAAAGGTATTATGCGCGTAAACGCATTAATGCGTTTATGCATGCGCAGAAAGTTTGTAGCTTTGAGGTTCGGATTATAGATCATTCCGGATTAAAGACTTTTGACTATAGTAAATATTTATGTGCTGACATGTGATAATGATCCTAAATGCATTTTGATGATCTAATTACGAAAATGATCATAAAAGTGTTCTCTCAGATATGAGCATACACACGTAATCCAAAGAAATAATCAGATTCCTCAGATTAATCAAATTACATGTATTCAGTATCCAAGTCAAAAGTGAACAATATTAATCAAACATAACAATTAAAAATAAATTAAGGACAAAAATAGCACAAACTCTATTCTTCTCAAAGGTAGAAATCGTGAAATACATGAAATAGCACAATCCACACATTACAGCTATGTGAAATAAGGTCACGAAAGTAAACACAGCTGCTTCCCAAATTTTCCTCGACGGAGCTTTCTCTTCAGATATATGTATTAGATCCTATAATTGAACAAAAGTATCAATCAGAGTTATATTTGTACTAAGTATACTAGTCTAAATAATTTACACTGGAATTATTCAACCTACATTCTGTCTAGTCTACATTATATCATTGTTATCGTTAAACTATAAGCAGTGCTGGATAAAAATGGTAGAAGGAGACTTATGCTGAAATATTTTTCATGCGATTTTTTTAACATTTAATTTTTTCCAGCACAAATAATAAAATAATAATTTTACCAGTTTGTTGGACATCTTTAGATGCAGCGACACAATATCAAATCTAAACCTGAATATGAGAAAATGCACTTTGGAAACTGGGATTTGATAATGAGTGGTGACTGCTCTTCCTTTGATATGCCTTTTTAACTTGTCTCATCAAAGCAAATATTTGCAATTATTATTACATTTATTATTACGATATTATGTACACTGCGGAAAAAAAGACAGTTCTATATCACCCTGAACGTTCTACTGGACCGATCGACGAAATTCAAACTGCGTTTTCCATATCTTGAAAGCGCCACTTAGCATATGTATTAGACTTATATATAGCATTGTTCTAACATAGATATTTTGACACAAAATCGAACTTTTTCTGAAATGATATGCCAAAGTTTTTCCATATTTCGCTTCTACGACTCAAGCTATGCCAAACTGCCAAGTTTTGTAATAATCGCTCGAGCAGTTTTTTAAAAATTAGCTCTAAAAATTTTAGCTCCTCGCTGTTAATTGAATTTGGCATATATTTAATAATATCTTTTTTATTAAATTTATTTGATTCTTCCTTTCAGATTTTAAAATTTAGATTCATTCCGAATGAAATTCGCCCATCCTTTACGAATTATTTTTTAAATTTGTATTTTTAAATCATTTTTATATATTTTTCTTTAAACATTTTGAATTACAACATACAAAATTTTTGTCATCATCTTTAGTTGAATTGTTTTTAGCTTTAGAGTTTATTGCTGTTTTTATTTTTGTACGTGGTACAGCAGGATGTCTGCTGTAAATTCAACTCCGGTATTGCAAGAGCAGTACTGGAGTTGAATTGTCGTTGCATTGAGGTAGGAATTTTTTCTTTTCTTGTGGCCATAGGAAATGTCCATATGGCAGAGCCATAGGAGCCATAATTTTGGTTATTACTGTACGGTATAGTAATTTGGTGATATGGGGATTTAAACCCCAGTTTGTGCCATGCATGCGTCGAAGATTTTGACTTATAGAATGTAAACAAATTTTAAGTTCGTTGAGATATTCGATAAAATTTTGTTTTTGATCTATTATGATTCCTGGGTATTTAATTGATAGCTTACAGGACAATTAACCGACAGGGAAATTACCCGAGATGCTATTTAACCGACACAGACATTTAGCCGACAGGACATTTAGCCAACATGACACTTAGCCGACAAATCATTTAGACACGTACAGCACGTTTTGTTGATAACACGCACATATAGACAAAACATGTGACACTGTTTTAGTAAAATTTGTCTATATTTATCTAAAGGGCTGTTTCCAGAATACTAACGAGAAGGTTTATGAATAAGTGCCATATTTTCTCTTTAAGATTAATGAAATTCCGGATTTTAAAATTAAACAGAAAGGCAACCTTATCTCGGCATAAATTTTTGAAATAATTTCGAGAGTAATCAGACATAAATCTCTATATTTCGCTTTGGTTTAGTTTATTTCATTATGACCAAGCACTAGAGGGCTATCTGTCTAAGGGAAAGGATGCCTTCACGGAGGACTTTCTTGGGAAAACTGGTCCATATAAACATTATGGATGAGAAAAGTCTCGAAAGCGTCCATGCATCTGGATCATCCGCGGGGATCGAACGCCGCACTGAATTACCAGTGTTCAGAGACTTTACCGCTCAGTGTTTGGTTGGTTTGGTCTTTATCTTTCAGAAGTGGGTTAGAAAATTTCAGCAGTCAGATGAGCGAAAACGAATGTAATGTGATTTGTCGCGGAAAATAATAATGAAACATGAAAAAGGCTAAGCTATTAGAATTTTGAGAGCATTGAAAAATTAATGCCATTTACTAAGGAAGAAAAAAATTTGTTAATGTGAAAGGGTTTAAAGAAATCCAATTTAAGTTACGTTTGTTTTCTCTTTGCTCCGCTCATTCTTTTCATATAAAGTCGCTTTATTTTTTTGACTGCTAAAATTTCCTTTCCCACTTATGAAACTGATTATTTTCGAAACTGATTTCAAAATTTACACCAAATAAAGTTGCTTTTGCGACGAAATTTTAAAATCCGTAGTTCCTTTAACATCTAATTGCATCAAAACTATGGTACTATAAACCTCCTCGTTATGTACCCTGGAAACAGACTTTATTTCTCAGATAAATATGGACAATTGTTTCAAAAACATTGTCGCACGATATTTTCGTCTATAGTCAGCTAAACGCGCTGTGGGCTAAACACCCTGTCGGTTAAATGTCTTGTCGGCTAAATATCCGTGTCGGTTAAATGCCCTGTCGGTCAAATGCCCGTGTCAGTTAAGTGTCCTTTCGTCTAAATGTCCATGTCGGTTAAATGACCTATCGGCTAAATGTACTTGTCAGTTCTAGCCGTTATCTGTCAACTTTCATAAAAGATACATGAATTGTCTCTGTGCTCAGCTGGGCCACCTGGCAACAAGTTCACACTATATATGGGATTGCTCACTTACAGAACCTATCAGAATAGAATACTATGGAAACATTGCGACGATTAATGAACAATTTCTATATACAGCTGAAAAGGCGAAAAGGCTAAACTGGGCATTACAAGGATTCTCTTGAACTTAAATAGATATGGATATTTTATTTTAGGAGATCAGTAAATACTGTTATTTTAGCAAAAATCTACTTGAATTATGTGTAGAAGCCAGAGTTGTTCAATGCTAATCAAAGATTGATTATTCTGTAGAATTAAGTCGTTATAAGTTTATAATATGAGTAATGATTAGATTATCTTGTAATACAGAAAGAATTTTGTATAGACAGAAAATCTCTGTATATATTATTTGTTATAAAATACGTTCGCAAATATGATTATGTTATTGCTAATAGAAATGTTTAATGTTATTATCCTGCTTGCTGTCTGTAATTCAATATAACTGTTTACATCGTAATTTTAATTACATTTTTTTATATATACGCATTATTCTGAATAAAGATCGAGATGACCCTGTTGGCTGGGCCGACACATCTTCCTCGGAGAGCAAGTGGAAGGACGAGTTGTCCTTATCTGTAGTTTTAGTTCCAGTCTTCCATTATTTGGTTTGTTTTAATTTGCCGGTTGTGCCAGTTGGCGGTACTGCTTATTATCTTAAGGTTAGGTTGCTGGCTAAATGTCCTTGTCGGCTAAATGTCCTTTTCCTTCTCAGTTGGCCAAGTGTCCGCGACCTATGGGTGACACAGTTCAGCACCATAGACCTCCGACCCAGGTCCATATTCTAGAGGACCCATACAGAGTTGAGATATCCATGGTCAGTGGGACCTCATTCTCGCAAGCGCAACCCCCGTCCGGCTTTTACAAAGCACTGGGCAGAACTAAAATGTTGCTATGGTAAAAACTCTGTCACCTTGCCTCCGGGTGCCACTCCATCGGCAGAAATTCCATTGTTCAAAGGTGCTCTGTCCACTCTGTCAGTCCCCGCCACGAGAACTGAATAGGGGCAAACCCCCGGGGACTCGGTCGACGATCTCCGATATAGCCCCACCACAGCCGAAGGAACAGATACGACAGTACCAGTACGGTCCCTGCCAATTCTGAACCAACATGAGTACAATACTCGGGTTCTAGTCCTGTGAAGTCAAATTATATACCCTCGAGGTTGAGACTGCCTAAGTACAGATCCTAACCAGTACTTCCCAGGCGTTCGCCTGAGTCAACCCCCGGGGGGGGAACCACCATAGGACTGGAGAAGACTTATTATTTGAACTATTTTGCACTTCATTTGCTTGGTTTTTACAAGGTACCTCTTGAAAAGTAATAAATCTGTAGCCGAGAGGCTGGCTGAAATATGTAGCAGTTATCGCATATTTGAAAACATAACGATCAGGATCCCATTTTTCCTCTGCATATGCAGCTGCCATAAAGGGAGAGATTCCTTTTGTAAATATGCGTAGAGAACGGACCATAGCCAGTCAAAGACTGATTTAGGAAAAAATTACTTCTTTCTCTATCGTACGTTATAGCCAAAATTCTTGAAATCTTCTACTTTGAGTGAATTTATCCCAATCAATTTGCCATTATATGTTCTCCGTGTTGTTTATCTGATTAGTAAGATGTCCATCTGATGTCTAGAGTCGAAGAACTGATATTCTGGGCCGCTTCTTTTACGAGTTGGACCTGCTTATTAATTACCGGAGTCTCCAGAGCCTCACGCAGTCTGAGTGAGCTTCCGTGTTATGTAATATATGGCAATGGAAACTCCATTTATCCTCTATAATATTGGTACAAATGTTTTTGAAAATCATCAGTTGAATGTATTATAAATTATGTGAATTAAATGTGATATATTCAATTAAATATATTAAAAATTGAAGTGTAATAAGAAGGTGTATTACTTTGAAAATTTGTCAATTGTTTTATAACATTAATTAAAAAAAGCTAAAACTAAAAACTGGTAAGATTGAAGTAAGTGAATTTCATACGCTTGTTTGCAGAAACTTTCTTACCCCAAAAAGGATTGCCTAACTTGTACCTCTCTCACATGCGTCAAAGGATTAAACAACAGATTTTTATGGAATAGTGTAAATATTAATACCTAACCAATAAAATGCATTTCTAGCTGCATCTCTTTTATAATGTGCCACTGCGTAAATAAAGAGGTATTTCATAACAGAATTTATACAAACACTGACATGTTTTACGTCATAATTTTACACACTCGTGCTCCAAAAATAAGCAACAAACGCTAAAAGAAAATGTACGTATGTAAAAAGGAGAAGTAAAACATCCAGTTTACATATGAGGTTATGCTATGTTAGGCACCGCTGACCAGGCTTCCGACCTAAGGTAAAACCGAAAGGAATGATGCCTGATCAGTGGAAAAACCACAACAAGGTAGCAGCTGAAAGACCAATCACCATTAATTGTTCTTAATCAGGAAAGTTACTGAAAAGTAGATTGCAAAAATAATTATAAAGATGTCTTGCATAAATTGCTACATAGGATACGTAAGATTGTGCTCCATGTTACAATAATCTAACATTATTGTATCCATGTTACAATGATGTTAGGTTACAAAAGCTTTGAGTGGAGTGTCATGTAATGCAAAATATACACATTGAATACATAAAAGTTGAACCAATTTCTATATGCATTAGAAATACATAAATGAGAACACACAGATATATATTGTAATGGAGGTTACATCACCGAATTCAAAGAGGCAACCAAAATTAGCATGAAACGCACTCCAGCAGTTACACTACAAAGCTTTAAAAAGGGGCATGCTGGACCTATGCGCCAGTTGGCAAGCAGCGATAGTTCCGTGTAGTCCGAGATAGCCAAAGTGGGAAGCATGAGCCAAAGACCCCATTTGCGCGATGAAATCCGTTGAAGAATTGCCGGGATGTTGAAAGCTGGTGCAAGAAAATCAGCGGTTGCGAAAGAGCTGAATGTGCATCGTAGTGAATAGGCAGTGGAATGGTTACCAAAATGACCAAAAGCTATTTAAATGTCATGGGTCTAAACACCAGAGCATTATCACTAAGACAGACGATACCTTCCGGTTTCTATGTGCAAGACGCCGTAGATCACTAACAGCACGATAGCTGTCGTCGCAATTCTCTGCTGCTGAAGACGGCCCGTATCCCGCCTAACTGTGTTGCGTCGACTGCATGAAGGTTCACTGTGTGGATTTGTGTTTCTTTGTCTTCATCGCATGTCAGAGTGCGGTTGAACTGGGCCCGTGAGCATCGCATTGTGACACCAGAATAGTGGCGGCGCAACGTAATGTTTACGGATTAGTCCCGATTTAACATCCAGTGCGATTCCCGAAGGGCAATGGTATACCGAGCGCCAGGGATACGCTATCGGAAGCCAAACATCATCCAAAAAGACCATTACAGAGGAGGAGGCTTACTTGTATGAGCTGAGATAGCAACAAACGGACGCACCGACTTCTACATGATTCCTGTTGGTTCTATCACAATCGTCCAATATCGCGACGAAATTCTACACCCTCTATTGCGTCCTTATATCATTGAATTAGGCACCGACGTGATATTTATGGGCGATAACGCTCTCGCGTATAGAGCTCGAGTGGTGCGGAGAGTTATCTGGAGAATGAAACCATTCCAAATCTGCCGTGGCTTGCTAATTCACCGGACCTGAATACCATAGAGCAAGTGTGGGACATAGTAGGACGACGGATAGTAGGTCTCAGTGTGTTGCCAGGCACCCTTCTCGAGCTCAACCATGCATTACTACAGGAATGGGAGCTATTGCCCAACAAATTATCAACGACATGACTGCCAGTTTGCCTCGCCATTTTCAGGCTTGCACTTCAGCTAGAGGCATCACATCTTTTATTAGCAAGATGTTTCTATTGCACATTCTTCTGACCCATTTGGCCTTTTACGATGTGATGGTCTAAATTCGTGTGTTTTTGTATGACTTCGCTTTATTTTTTGCTATGTGGTTCAACCTCTTGGACCAATTTCACCATCAGCCATTCATTTCAATTCAGCCATTAAATAGTTTCAATTTTATTCCGTTTATTTATTTTTCCTTTGTTGCTTATTTTTTAGCAGGGGTGTACAACACTTTAAAGCCGTCAAATGGTAAAAATAGTTTAGAACATGATTTTAGTTTTAAAAATGAAATATAAAAGTATACGCTATGGGGTAAAGAGCTATAAAATCCTTCGTGTTAAGCTTAATATAATTGTGAGCCTATCCATTCGTAGAATCTGCGCTTAATAATTATGTTAGATTAACAGTAAGAAATTTTTATTCTCTTCAGATGAATAACAGTCTTGAAAAACTATAAAGCCCTTTGCGTTAGGTTTAATATAGTTGAGAACCTATTTACAAATAGAGATGTCCTTAATAATTATGCCAGACTAATAGTAGGAAATTTACATTTTCTTCAAATGAATAACAGCTTACACAAGCCAAACAGCTACAAATAGCTCAAGGATAAAAATAGATATCAGACAAATTCTTTTTAAAATGTGAGAAATACAGATCAACAAAATCACTCGCAAATTAAAGTCAAAAACTTAATTACAGTGGTATGATATTGAACTCCGTAAATTTCCAGAAAATCATGAGATTAGCAAGAAATAGTCAAATGTCGCCAACGTGGCGATAAAAATTGACTACAAGGGCCATCAGATGAGCTTTTCCTATGTGACAGCTTATAACTGAGCTATTTTCTCTTCTCAATTCAAGCGTTGAGCAACTCAGAGTTACAAAATCGCAAATATAAAACGCAAAGTGGACGTTTAAAAATGTAATACATAGACTGACATTCAAATAAACAAAAGTACACTGCAAACTTTGTACAAAAAATTCACCACATAAAAGCGCAGATAGATAAATAAAATACATAACGATATAAAAATATGTAAAAACAAACACACAATCAAATAAACACAAATATTTGCATAACTGCGCAATATTAACCCTCTGACCGGCCAGGAGTTTCGTTAAGAAAGCACAAATTTCCCAAAACTACGATGAGAAAAAATTTTTTCTTGATTTTAATTTAAAATTCTCATGGTATTTTATACCTGGATTTGTGTACTTTTAATATATTGCCTTGGTTTCTTTGCCATTTATTAATATGCACGTATAACGTTCTTAGAGATATCACAAAAAATATATACGGCCTTGTCGGTTAGAGGGTTTTAATACGATACACAATTCTGCTTATAAACAATCCGTATCAATTATGTATGCATACTACAGATCCTGTAATAATATTTTAAATAGTGAAATAATAAACGATAATAGTTCCTTTTCTAATAAATAATGCATACAAATTTTAATTTTACCTTAATTACTTGACAAAAGTTGGCTTGAAAATAGCGTGTAAGGTCATGAAACCCAACACCATAGTTCCACGAGCAAAAGACTACATTAGAAAATACACAGGCATTGTCCGAACGTATGTACTGATTTCCAAAGGTTTTGAAAATTCTGTAAAAGAATGGAAGTTAAACTATGAAAGATACTTTTATATGAAGGGAAAAAACAATAAGCTATCAAATATGTTAACAGTAACTGCTGTTTGTATAGAAGAAATGGAAATAAATTATAAAATGCTTTTAGAAGCCCTTTCAGTTACATAAGTCCAATTAAAACTACGAATATGCTTAAACAGTAACAGGAGTTTATGCAAAACTAATAAACAGTGCAAATAATTTCACACTGTATAAATTTAATGGATAGAAATAAAAAAAATAATGGATGGAGAAAAATTAATGGACAAAAAATTATGAAGGATTTTAACAATGACTGCAGTTTGTAAATTTAATGAACATAAAGAATAGAACATCTAAAATGTGAAGAATTTTAGCAGTAAATTCGGTTTACCTAAAGTTACTGGAAGCAGAGTAAAAGTATTGTTTTGCAAAATACGCAGCTGCGGTGAGATAGCTTCCCCAGAAAGCTGAGTTAGGGTTAACAGAAAGTCCGGGCTGCTAGATTTGGCATGAAATCGCCCATATGGCGACAAAAGAGGGGATATGCCATAGATGGAGCGAGAACATTCTAGAACGCATTCTTAGCGGCAACGTTCTCGAAGATAGGTTAAAGCTATATATACCCAGCTTGTACGCGAATAAAAGAGTATGTTCAATTCAGAGATAAGCTTAATAACGGCAGAATCGAGTCGGGAACTGTACTTAGTGCTTTGCCATGAGGCTGTGTTCACTGTTGTAGCCTGAAGGCTGTGTTGCTGATTATTTCAGCGTGTTTATCATAGTTTTCTTAGACTGTAAACGTGCCTTTGGAACTCTGCTGTGTAATACTGGCGAATAAATTGTGCTTTAATTCTTCATCAAGTGTTACCGTCAATTACTCCAAATCCACGAACATGTAGAACGCAACAAGTATGACAGATTCTAACAGTAATAGCAATGTGTACAATTGAAGGGAAACTGTAAAAGATTCCTTTCAGTTTGTGTAAAAACCGAAACAAGGAATACAAACAGAGTATCAAAGCCTATAACAATAACAGCAGTTTACATAAAATTATTCTAAATAATGGATGGAAAACAAAGTAGAAAGATTTAGCAATAATTTCAGTTTATGAAAAATTAATTGAAATATAAAATGAAAAAAAAAAAAAAACTTTGTGTAAAACTAATGAGAAATTAAAAAGAAAGGAACATGAACTGTATAAAGGACTTTAATTTCAAGACATAACAAATTAATCAGAGCAAAGAAAGAAAGTAAAAAATGAAAACATTTAACACTAAATCCAGTTTGCTTAAAATAAATGGAAGTTAAAACTGCAAAATAATTAAAAAGTACTTTTAATTCGGATAAAGTTGATTAAACAAAAAATGAATGTAAAGAATCAAGGACTTTAACAGGAATTGCAATTTATGCAAAATTAATGGAGATAAAGTATTGAATTTAAACTAGAAAACATTTTAAGAACAAATATATCCTGTATAAAATGAATTAAAATAAAATAAATAAATAAATAAATAAATACTAGTTAATCTGAAAGACTTTTAACTGTAGTTTGCATAAAATTTATAGAAGAATTACATTAAATTGTCATAGACTTGAACAGTTTTTTTTTTTTTTTTTTTTTTTTTTTTTTCCCACTTAGTATAGCATTAGTAGGAATGAAAATGGAAGTTGAATTATGAAAGTCTTTAACGGAAACTGAAGTTTATATAAAATTAATGGAAGTAAAGAAATCAAGCCATGTAGGATTTGAACAGTAAAGGCAATATTAAAAAAATGCAGATAAATTAATTAACGTGTTGCCTATAATATAAATAATTACCTGTAATACAAAACTAGAAGACTGAATACATATATGAGTCCAACGTTTACAAGATATGCTTTCGGAATATTGTACGTAATTCCTGGTGCAACTTCAACAACATTTTTAGTAAAACGGTCGTAGAATAAACCCTAAAAAGAATTTACAAAATATATTTTAATAAATAATTAGATTATAAATTATAAACCATAGCCGCAAGGAGTAAAGCGATTTTTTTCTTTGCATACACGCATGCATACATATATATATATACAAGGCTATTCATGAACAGAAGAGTATTGTTACGAATTTTGTATTTAGCTAATTTTAGTAGATTTACAAGTAAAATTGTTGTATTTCTTCTGTAAATGAAAAATCTAAAGAGAAGCTATGCCGGAAAAGTAAGAGTACAAGGGCAAGTTAATTTAACATAAACTAAATGGGTATCTAGTTAATTTGGTGAAATATCGCCAAGCTGACAACGCTTTTGGCGACTTATTTTGTCGCTAAATTTGGCTATAAATCGCCAAATTTGGCGACTTTTGGGTACGGTCTATGTATTGAAATTGAAAAACTGTAATTGACCACTATGTTTGCTGTAACCGTAGTTCAACCCTTGTATTGCTTTCCGGTAATTCCAAGAAGCAGAAAGTTCTAGAACTATCTCGGCAAACTATTTAAGGCCGAAGAGAGAGCATCTGCTCTCAGTTGCTCAGTTATTCTTGCTGGAGTTGTTAGTTCCACGTGAACTGAAATATCCGAGTTAGCTTTATCTTTAGATGCGCTTTGCAATGCTTTGGGTTTAACATTCTTAGTAGTTTAATTCGCAACTACTGATTATACTTTGGGCACCTGTAAGAGTATTTCTGCAGAAAATTCCAGAAATGAGAAGTGTTTATTTGGTAAAATAAATTTTCTTAACCTACCATCGGACCTGTATGCATTCAATCTGTTACAAACCCGTACGCATGCAGCAGTATTTTTAAAGTAGCTTACTTACCAATGAGCAAAAGTATTGACAACTTCTGGATACTTTTAATCATTAATGCCATCATGCGTTTGCTGAAAGTGACCCACAGTCTTCGCTAGATACTTGATTTTGGACAATCATTATTCTGAAAGAATTTAGAACTACTAAACCCAACTACACGAGCACAAGTATACTTCCACAAGCTAATAATCAGCACATCTTGACAGTTGATATCGACTTAGTGTACGCAATGCATATAGATGCAGAAAATTAATGTCTGCATCCAGAGAATCGATTATAAACAAATTTTTTTTTATATCCAAAAGTCGATTTTAAGAACTTTGGAAAATATTCCGAGATTCTATGCAAACAACCAATGTCAATAATCTCTGTCAACATCTTAAAAGATGATTCAAGCAATCTTTGCTGACTTCCAGAGAACAAATGATCAAAACTTTTCGTCAACATCTCAAAAGTCTATGTCGAAAATGCTATCATAGGATGGATATCACAGAACTGTCCAATTCGCTTCGGCATTCATCTTCGAGACACATGGTCCAAGACATAATTAAAAAAACAATGCTATAACTCCTTCTATGACAAATTTCATAGTAGGAACAATGCATTTTAGCACCTTTCTGGAATTCGACAAGTTCATACATATCCATCAGAATGTTTTAGAGACAGCAGGTGGAGTGCTTTGGTTTACTTACAATTGGTAGCAAATGTTCAATTTAGTGAGTATTGGTTTGAGGGGATTTGGTGCCAGCTTGCTTCACTACTACTGTTTGGTGGCATCGTCTCTTAGTAACTGTGGTAACTGCGCCTTCACTACCTCAGTATCCTTGAGGCTAGTAAGTGACCTTAGTGCTTGAACCGAGTTCTGTGGAGTATAAATTAAATATTGTACCTCCAAGGGAAAAGTACACTTCTGACTGTGCACTTATTCTGTTTCCTAATACAAGCACAGATCAGAAACTCAGTTCACTCGCGGCATTCGTAATTCGATATTAGAGGATTTTAACTGAGCTCGGGCTATAGGTGAGTGAATTCGCTAATCATACTATAGAAATGATCCTATGAAGTGTACGGTTGCGATGCTTGTGTAGTGAAGTTCTTGATGGTTACATTCGTAGGCTGCAGCCTCAACGTGTGGGAGTGTCGGGAAGCTCCGCGGTGTGTGACATTGCAAGTGAGCGGATAGGGGTGTCCTTAACATGGCCGAGGTAATCATCCGTTACGAAATGATGCGAGTACTGGCACACTTCAGATGTCAGTCGAACGTTTGGAGCTACGTTACCTGATAATTTGATTTTATCACACATCAGAGGCATTAAGGATTGCTATTTGTGAATAATTTAGGTTACGTTTAGGGTTTTACAACTTCCTCACGTTCCATTTTACCGTTATATCACTCATATAGTATCCGGAACTTCTCAAAACTCTTACAGTTGGAATGACAGAATCAATGGACACTGATAACAATGGCCCTTTCACCCATACTCAGCTCTCGTCGAATGTCTATTCTGACAGCTGATGGTAGGATGTGTTTTCGCTATCCTTTTATGGACTCATAAGATAGTGGTGTATGGATGATTCTATTTTTCTCTCAGGGAGTGACCAGTCATTAATGACAATATAAATCATTCAGCCAGCAGATGTATGACAACACATTTATTCCGAATTTTAAACATCGGTCTCAATTAGTCTGGATATTTGGATTTCTGATGAGTATTCAATCTCCTGTAGTTTTAATTAATGATATCTCAAGCAGATTTGAATATTTGAAGATTTTCTGCGGTTTTAACCATTCGGCCATTGGCTATTATTAATGGCCATTTAAGCGCCATTATCAATGAACATTTTAAGCGATTATGTTAAACAGGGTTGCCACTCAAACAGGAGAATGAAATTCCCTGACTTTTCCAGGTTTTCCAGGTACATTTCAAGAAAATTCCAGTCTATCCGCGTAATGTACGTTGGCTACGCTAAGAGGTAAATTATGGTATTACTTGTATTGTGTAGCAAATTCACTTAATTATTCAATAAATCCCAGAGGACATTTATTCTTAATTATTCTTGGTATACTTTGTTTGATAATTTTGTTTACTTTTCCACTTAAGAAACTTAATAAAATTTAAGATATATACATTGGATAACAAATGTATGTTTTTTTAATTATTACTCATGATCATCACCAGTTCAACACGAGGCTAATCCGTGGTCCTTATAAATCACAACGCAATGCTAAATAGTTAGGTTAGATTTTAGGTAAATTTAATTTGTGTGAGGTATGTTCTTAAAAAGCACCTTAACACTTGAAAACACAAATATAATTATAATAGTTGTTGTTTTTTCCATTGAAGATTGAGATTAGAATCTTCCCAATCTGGAATAAAATAAGGCTTTTTTTGCAGACATTCTGCAGCTAAACGAAACAAAGAAATCTATTTTAATAAATTGAGGTATTTTATATTTAGTTTGCAGCATACATAAGAAAAAAATATGTGCATTAAATTTCGTGATTGTATGTCATCATACTGCTAAAATTAATTTCAAGATTATGCCAGAGAAAATTTCCTGAAATTTAGAAATATTATTTACTAATAATTAATAAATTTAGAGAGAAGAAGCATCATTAAATTATACGAATAACATAAAAATAAAGATAATTACTTAAAAATTGAATTAGAATAATCAACGATATTTTAGCGAATATAGTTATATTACATGGTTAGCCTAGATGACAGATTACTATTTTTTATTTTACTGCAAAATGGCAAGGTATTTATTAAAAATAAAAGTTTAAAAAGATTTTGCGGTAAAATTCTAGTATACGGTAAGGCTTTGGCACGATTTTGAAAATTGTCGCCAAGACCAAAATGACCCGTTTACTGCGCATCATCATGTCGCCAAATCCATACATGGAGATTATTTTAACCAAAAAACGTCTATGCAAAGAATCTCTAATTCTTTGGTCTATGTAAAGAAGAAAATTTTCCATACAAGTAAAATGGTATTACGCCGCTAGAATGCGGAGGGAAAATTTGCCAAGGGATTTGGCGACGGAACCTGGCGGCCAGAATTTCCCTCTCCGCGATGTGTACCGGAAATTGAGAAACGTGTTAAGAAGAAACGTTCTTTGACAAAAAGAAAGCTACGAAAATCCGTTTTTAAATTATTGCGAAAAATCCAAGAAGAAACGTTTTATCAAAGGACGTTTCTTCTTGGATTTTTCGCAATAATTTTAAAAACGGATTTTCGTAGTTTTTCCCCCCCTGAAAATTACTAACCTATGAATTAATTTATTTGCGCCAAAAAATATTTTCTTTTAATTTAGAGTTTAACTACTTGCGCTAAGACTAAACTTCACGGTTGCGGTGCCGTGCGCTACAATATAGCAAGTGGTAAAGTGTCTCATTTACGCCGCTCCGCATCTGCGAGTGCAATCCAGAGCTGTAACTCGAGAAATAAACAATCTCGTTGTTAGGCGACATGTGCACCATGTTATTTTTTTTTTTTTTTTTTTTGCGATAAATAAATGCTTATCGACGTGGTGTTCACGTCGCTCGCAGTTTGAGACAAAAACATCTCGACGTGCGTGGCACGTCTTTTTAGCGCAAGTGGTTAAGAAAAGAAATTTTAAAGGATATTCATTTAATGAACTCTTGATAACGTGACCTTCGAACTTCGACACCGGTTTCCAGCTTTGGCGGCAGATATATCACGCATGCACAGATGTTTCCCTCTATGATGGAACGGAGCCACGTCTGTTGCAGAGAGGTTTTCCTTCTTTACAATACATATTCTTTGATTCTAACCTCCATGGTACCGTATACTAAGATTAAACCCATTTTGTTTTATACGAGAACAGGTACTTTCTTTAGTTCATGCGATTCTCGAGAATACTGGAAACCAAAAGTTGCGGGAAACTTGCTTTGCCTTTCTAAAAGGCAATCAAATTGGAGCTGCGAAAATTGGCTCTATGCCAGCAGACACTCGCGTGATAGGCAATTCGCCAAAAAAGTTATCTTTTCCGACGTCGGCGCAAAAATCGCTTTTTTTAGCGGGATCATTGTATGAACTTCCCTGACTTTTCCAGATTTTGACAAAAATACTTAAATTCCCTGACTTTTCCTTGAATTTTTTGGTCAATTTTCGAATTCCCTGACTTTTCCCGGTTCTCCCGGTTTTCCAGGTAGCGTGGCAACCCTGGTTAAAGAACAGCTAAAGATAAGAATGATTCCTGGAGAAATTTTCAAAGAACTTATTCATATTAGCGTTATACATGGGAAAAGCATGAAAACTCCCTTGTAACCAGCTTATTCACCTGCATTCGAATCTACGTCGAACTAAAATATTCACTGCTTTTATCAATCGGTGTACACGTTTTGTTCCGCAGCTACCTTATTAATCGGTGTATACACTTTTAGTTTGACAGCTACGGAGCACAATCAGTTACTGAAGAGCTGGTTTAACAGTGTAATATTCTTGAAAAGCTTCCCAGCACAAGCAGAATATGAAGTATATGATAAAATAAGTTACTTACCGTTCTATCAACTGTGACGTTAGAATAAAGAGTGCTTTCATAGACCAACTGCGGAATGACCAGAAAGAGGGAAGTAACCATAAAATTGAAGATGTTGATGTAAACTAACAACCAGCAGAAAGTGAAATAGGAGGCAACACCCGCACCAAAATAGTTCTGTATGGATCTGTAGCCAGGTGGGTAAACCATTTCCAACAAATGAGCCAAATTTATCACTTCCATGTAAAACGAACGGCAGTTCTACATAAAAAGGGACAGAATTAATTTTTATACAGATGTTTCGTAAATATTATACAAGATTTAGTGTTTAATAAATGCAATAATAAGGTTAACTTTATAGCAATTTTTAAGAATGTTCTTCAAGTATTTAGAGATAATTTTACAATAGTACATTAAAAAAGCGATCATTTACAAGATACGAAATATATGTCGTTACAAAAACCTTTTACTAATTACTGTAATGTAAACAATATTCTCAAAAATTACAAGTTGAACGTGTCATAAATTACAGCTATCCTAGGTGCATGAAATTCAGACTGGGACATAGAATTCAGTATTACCTTAACAAGGTAAATATCGATTATTCCGCCTGCAGTAACTGTAGGGCGATAGGACACTCGGCCTTGCACCATAGTTGCCCAAATTTTCTCACCAACGCACCAGCTAAGAATAACATTGCGACGCTAGGAATTAACTTTTCCAAAGCCCTTCTGGTGAAAACGTTGATGCTGAACCAAGTAGTAAACGCTAATTCTGATGATTTAACTAATGCTAAAATAAGGATAATAATGTTGAATTAAGTGATTTATTTAAGCTTAGGAATAGTAGCCAATAACGAGAGAGACAGTTAGAATTGTAATTAACAAATTCGTATAAGGCAGATGCTTACTTGATCGAGCAAATAAAACATTTTTGTCTCTACACCGCCTTTAATTCAGGACACTATGTATATGACTTTATAGGCGTATTCATGTGAAACCAATATTACGCCACCCATTTTACTCGTCTCAAAATACTTAAATATCTCTTCATTTGAGCTTTAGCTTGATCATGCGAGGCATCTGCAGCAGAGGATCTAGTATCGGAGTTTGCACTAGTGAGGTGAATGAAAAAGACATTTTAGTCACAGAGAATATTCTTCAACATCGCTTTATTCTTTATGCAAATACAAATGGCGCCATCAGACACAATAAGGCTGCACAACAAGGCTACACCTTACTATCAAAACTAAAGTAATAATAGAGTTGTGCTGACAGATTTTTAACATTTCAGGCTCGTTTATTGTGTTCTTATCTAATTATTTTATTTAAAAAATAAAGAGACTTACTTGATATACTTGTTCTTTAATTGTTCGAAACCAATTCCCATCATGCATTGGTTTCTGCGGTTCGGGCAGTTCTTCCAGTTTCCTTAGAACTCTTCTTTTCAGTGTTAGATTTTGATGCATATCGCGAAGGATATTGATCCTTTCTTGTACTTCTAGTTCAGGATCTGCGCATAGTATCTGAAAAAGGAAACAAAATCTGTCAGATGACATAATGACTTTGGAAGCATCATTTATTAGCTAAAATACTGCTTCAAATATTCAGAAAAATAACCAATTTGTAGAGACATTAGGTATTTTTTGGGAACAGGAGAATTGAAAAATTTGCAATCGCCTTCGCCGGGAATCGAACCACGGACCTCTGAAATGCCAGCTCACTGTGCTGACCACCCATAATACCTTATAAATGAAACCTATTGTAAATTCAATGAAGTTGAAATTGCGTCAAATAGTTGTAATGTTTATATCCCTTAACCACAATGTACGATTATGAGATTGAATTGGAAAAGAAATACGCCGTAAAATTTAAAATTAGGCAAATAAGCACCTATTTTACATTCTTGCAAGAAACTAGAAATAATTGCGAAAGGTTTGGGGTATGATATTTCAACGAAAATATCCATTTTGACAGTTTTCGATCTATTTGAATGAATGTTTCGCATGACATCTGCAGACAGAATAAAGAACTCTATTAATTTCTTGTACAAAGTAAAGGAAGCATTGTAATGGCAAAATATTTCGGGTGTCATATTTCAACGAAAACGTCCATGTTGACCGCTCTGGAATTCAATTGAGCGACGTTTTTGCGTGACATATATACGCACGGAAATAATAAAGGACTCTTTTTCCCAAAACGGATTGTAAAATTGATTTAAAATGGATTCAGGAGATATGAGCGTATCTCGCATAACTCAAAATCGAGTAGCCTCAGAACGTTGAAATTTTGCGCTCGGGATTGCTATAACATGTAATTGTGCACTTCCCTTTTCGGTTGCATCAAAAGCGTATATTTATATAAACTTACTTTGTTATCTGGCTCAATGAGCTCAGGTTTTTTATTCTTATATATTGGTAAATTGTGCATTTTTTACTTTAAAAGTGACTGAATTATGTTTTCCTAAAGTTCCGGTTAAGGTTTTATACCTTTAGTTAATATGCAGGCAATAGTTGTAGAATTATCAACAATTTAAAGTTTAAGTAGAGTTAAGCCTAAGGCAGCTATTTGTTTACATTTGAAACTCTTAGCAGAATATCGAATCAAGTCCAATGGTGCACCAACTTTGGTATCTTTTTGCCCAATGGGATAAAAAAATTGAATTTCAGCTTTGTGCACTGAAAATTATGTCTTCCTACCCGCTGGCCTAATTGCTTGTTTTTGTGCACACACTATAATTTTAATAATAAAAATTGTTCTTTAGGTATTTTTATCTGCATCTGGCGTTTGGGTTTTTTTTTTCATTTTTCAATTTTTAATGAAGATTGAGATTTTATGTATTTTTGCCTTGCTGGGAAGTGAGAAATGAATTGATGGAATTAGAAATATATCTCTAACGAAATTCGAGGAAATAAGTTTAAATGAAGTGCAGCAGAAAATATGTGTAATTTAATAATGTACGTCATTTAACAAGAAGCCGTACAAGGAAGTCGTGTGGTGGCCACATCAGATATTTTAAATTTAGAACACAGCTGTAGCAACATCCACCTATCATAGTATATCTCCTCTGTCTGCCTTAGAACTAAAACCTGGTGAATTTTTCTCTGATTAGAAATTAGTTTAGTTGTGATGGAATAGCCCAGCTACAAAATAACTTTAAGCTTAACCTCTGACTTGTAAGTAATTTTAATCATTGTTGTTTGCTCAGACCTCAAGAATCGGAATTAATGCTATCCTTGTACGTACAAGCTGAAGCGCAAATAAATGTTTCAGTTATTTTTTACATTGTGGCAATTACTTACTATTCTGGTATTGAAAGATAAATAGGAGGCAATAATTTGCTCGGCAGTTTTTGAAAATACTAAAACAGCGTTTAAAAGAAGTCAAAATGAAATTAACCTTAGATAGTTCGATTGCTAAAATAAAATTCGAAGAGAGATGATCATCAAAACCGTTGTTTTGTCTGTCACGTAAAGTTTGAGGGTCTGTATTATTCAAATAAAACCAAACAGAAGGATATTTTCAGTGACGATGGCCTTTGATTCGATGATATAGGGAGGAAATACCGAGACAAGCAATATTTTGTGGCCCAGCCAGCGGCCGAGCGGTAAAAGCCGCTGAACACTGGTAGCTCGGGTCCGGGATTCCGGCGAACGGGCTGGCTGCATGCGCTTTCTCGTGGTTTTCCCAATGTGTAACGTGGATACGAGCCAGTTTTCCTTAAAAAGACCTCCATGGGGCATTCCTCCCTTTCCGTGTAGTACCTAAGGATGGAGCACGTAATAAGCAAAAAAAAGCAATATTTGTGCACTATTCTGTGCATTTCATACTTCCAATAATTTATCATCGTTATTAAAAAGAATTATTCGATGTTTCATACCAAATTTGCAATTTACATTTTGATGTAAAATTAGAAAATTATTAGTGCCTCTAACAAAAGCCTCTTCCAACGATTTCGATTAAATTACTGATGCGATAGTTTAAGATTATGGCCAACAGACGAAAGTGCGATTTTGCTTTATCTACTTGCCCGAAAATCGACGTAGAGAACTCTGCGAAGCTACTGGCCAGGACCTGTACCTAGGCAGTCTCGGTCACGGGGGTATAAAATTTATGAATCCAGTGGTTTTGGAAGCCACGGAAAGGTCACTTATTGGCCGGCCCGGTGGTCTGGTGTGTCCTAGAGTATTGAGGCTCTAGTAGCCCGGAGGGGTAGTGTCCCGGGTTCGCTGGGTAATGTCCCACTGCGACGGGCAACCCGAGTGACTGGCAGGTAGTATTTAGATGACCAGAGTCGCCGTATGGCAATTAGTGTCAATGTCTCCAAGAGTCAGGGAGGGGGTTAAACCCCCGGAACTGTTCTGATGGCGCACTGGCCGTGTAGTGCAGGCACCAGGCAAGGCGAAGCACGTAAGTTAGAACTAGTTTCCTTTATCTTCTGAAATAACTTTCTCAATACGACATAAAAAAAATCATTTAAAAAGCCATTTTATGTGACTTTTGAACAGTTTTTTCTAAACAGGGTTATTTTATATCATCAGTGTTTTAAATACAACACATAGAAAAGATGGACAAGAAAATTTCTAATTTATCTTCCATTTTGCCAACATCCGAAGTAAAGCTGAATGATTAACATGAAATTTTGTAGTTTTATGCTAATTAACCATTTATCTTACTATTTTTGTCTGTATACTTTCATTCTTGTTTTCCCTGGCTCTCACAAATTCCTACTTTTCTCGGACGCATATTAGCGCAAAGCTCTTGAGTTCGAGAGACAGCCTTTGTGTCAACTATCTCTGACAGTGACTCTTAATACTTCTCAGTGTTAAATAAAAAAGTTTATTTTAAACCTTCTTCTGAGTTTTTGTTTCTCTACTTAGAAATTAAAACAGGACGATAAGTCGTCCGATTAGCTTTATAAACATTTAGGTGCAATGTAGAACTTTACGTGTATACATTTACAAACCTTTCGTTTTTTAACCTTACGTTGAGGTTAATGTTTTTAACATATTACTATTGTTCTATTTGCACGCTAAAAATGCAGAAACAAACACCAAAGCTTTTAAAAATAAAAATATCTGTCAGTTTTAGGTTTATTCAGTACTTTAGATTGACAGATTAGCAAAAATAAAGATTCGCTTTAAGACGGGGAAATAAATAATTTATTATTTTCTATATTTTTTAACTGCTCAAATGTTTTTCAAATTTGAAAGTCCTTTTGAAGTGTTACATCTTACGAACAATTATTTTATGTTACTTTTATTTGATATGCTAAATATAGCTCTAATAAACTATATTATTGTTTTCATCACTCCTTCGGAATACCATTTAGTCCATAATCAGTGTGATGATTATTGAGTGAAGCATGTATTTTTCGATAGCATGGACAAGACTGGATTAACCCTCAAGCAAGATAAGCATGTACAGCGTCGCTGACTGCCCTGCCGGAGGCCCCGAGTTCAAATCCCGGAGAAGGTATGGATGTTTGTAAATGTATAGTGTCGGTGCGGTATGGCGGCACTCTAAATATGCGGCGAGCCGAAAGTCCTCTCGAGTGATTTGGTGGAATTTGAGAGGGGTAAGAGAACCTCGGACCCGTTTCCCTGGGGTGGGTGTTCTCCATCAAAATTGGAAGCCAAACTGAGCCAAATAGTACTGTTACCTCTGTTAGGTGCTCAAGGCTGTTGCCAGCGATAGGCATAATCTTGCTGTCCTTGCCACAAGGATTTTCGTGGGCTTGGCTGACTACGTCAAACAAGTGAGCATAAACAATAACAGCAAAAAGAAAGTTCGCACTTGAAAAAGGTTTTTAGATATTTGAGAAAAGACGCACCAAAAAATTCCCTGTTACCCGTTTTATGGAATATATCGGGTAACTATATTAAAACCTCGGGAGTAACGGAATGAAGAAAAAAACTAGCGTAAACCTATATGGGGGCACCAAAATCCTTTAAATGTTCAGGATCTGTAAAGGCTCTTAATCCAGTCTTGAGCATGGAAGTAGCTTCAATGTGAGGCACTTTCGTGATTTACAGAATTCCCTGAAATCTGGTGGCATTTCCCAAGTTTTAAATTTCTTTCTTTTTTACTTTTTAAGCCTGATTGCAAGGATACAAGAAATAGACACCCTTCAATGGTCCAGTGAAAGACTGAATATTCTAGTACCAAGTGCAAGACTGTTGAATATGCGTAGTTAGACTATAAGGTATTTCTCCCGCCCTCCTAGCGTGCCTTCGTGGAGTAGGGATTCTGCACGCTGGGCCGGTATTCCAGAGGTCCTTGGTTCGGTTCCCGGCGAAGGCGATTGCTAATTTTTCCTCTTTTGTGCCTCAAAAACACCTAATGTCTCTAGAGTGGCGCCCGAACTAAAAGGGTTGTGGATGATGATTCTCCGCACCCAGGATTTGGTGACTAGGTCCCCTAAAACCCTAGTCGCCCTTTAAAAAGGGAGTATATAAGGTATTTCTCCCACTTTCCTAGCGTCCTTCGTGGTGTAGTGGTCTGTACGCTGGGCCGGTATTCCAGAGGTCCGTGGTTCGACTCCCGGAGAAGGCGTTTGCTATTTTTCATCTTGTCTGCTTTCAAAAAAATACCTACTATCTCTACAAGACGGGGGTTTAAATTCCGGCAAGCGGTCTGATTTCATTGGAATTTTTGCAGTTTTTTGCATGTAAAATAAAAAACTAAAGTCAGTAGCTCACGGCCTGCAGTGTCCTTTTTCTGCTTTCTTGCAACTTTGGGTCTCGAAGTGCATCAGCATATGCCCTGGACAAGTGGTCAGCTTGTGGCAGGACCTCCGGTGTTGAGCCCCCAAGCAAATTTGGTTTCATCGACCCACTTAAGAAATGAAATATTGAGTCAGCCTTGTCCAGCCCGGGGACCGGGCTCCGGACCTGTGGAGCAGTTGCGCGACGCGCTAACCACTTCGCCACCGAGCGATCATGTAAAATATAAATATAATAAAAGTCGGAATCTCTTCGAAAATATTCTATAAAACACCCCTTTTGGGAACAAATAGACTTTTTTTTTTCTGTTTTTAACTATATTTAATATTATGATTAATCCAGACCTCATTTAATTTATTCCACAATTTGTAATGTATTTGATCATCTTTACATCTGTACCTGATTATTATAGCACATCCTTAATATAACGGTATGCCTAACATGTACCATAATAGTGTAACGTGTTCCGCTTAGTCTCAACAGTCCCCACCATGCACTTTCTTTCCATGTTCTGGATCTTATTTCAATGTTCCTCGTTCCGTGGCCAATCCCCCGAAGGACACAGTACTAAGCTCTTTATTTATATTTATTCATGTATTTATTTTTAATTTCATCGACGGGATCCAACAGGCTGAAAAGCAACTAACCCAGTGAGCCAGCTGTTCCGTTGATGGCGAAAAGAAAAGAAAGAAAGTGTGTTTTCCTATATCCAGTTAAAGAAACAAGTAATCAGAATGAATATATCATAACTTCATCATAATCATCATAACATCAGTAATAAACTCAAATCAAAATAAACAGAAATAAACTCATATCAAAATAAGCACATACAAAAACGAAAATTTCGCTCCATTCACATATTATTAACACACGTAGCTAACAGATACAAGATACGAAGTGGTCGCAATTAAAGATTAAACAAGGTACATAATAAATAAGTGGAAAATATTACAGAATAAGTTATTTAAGTAAATAAATAAAAGCAGATAAACAGCAACTCACAAAAACAAATAAACATAAATATTTCTAAATATTTACAATAATATGTTATCCAATAGTTTTCTGTACGTACCTGCGATAATTTTTCAGCACTTTTTATATTAGACGAAGACGATTTCGAATACCTCAGCCTATATATCTGAAGACGAGGACTCAGTGGATACTCTAAAAGAATAGCGAAGGAAAATCATTAAAATCACTACAGAAGAAACTAAAAGAATTATTTTCACTAATGTTATTCGATATAGATAAAAAAAATCCTTCATATACGTTCAAAGATATTACAAACAGTAAATTTCAGTTTATATACACTTCAATAAAGAGCTCACCATAAAAAAAAATTAAAAAGATGAAAAATAACTCGACAAAAAGAAGAGAAGCCAAATATTTGTATATTTCTTAACGAAAGATAACATTTACTCTTGAGAAATCGTAAAACAAATCTTTATTACTGATTGAAACTGAAACTCAGATCAGAAGTAATTTCGATTTTAAATGATGCGGTATGTTTTCGCAATGCAAAATGACACCTATAAGCGCATAAAGGTCAAATACATTCCAAATATCTTTGGAAAAAATATGTCCAGAATCCTGTATTCTGTGCATTACTACAAAATTACGTCATAATTGAAAATGAAATGCTGCACATTTCGCATTATTTTGTACTGGATGTAGACGAGAGCTTACAGAAGATAAATAAATATATTGAAGTGCTAATATCTACTAATTAAACGCTCTCTGAAACATATCTTATTTATGATGTTCGCGGTATAAAACAACACTTGTTGCAAACTATTGTAAGAACTTCCAGGTAGACTGATTTTTTACGCATTTAATTTACATTTTATTTAGCGATTCACTTTTATAATATTCATAATAGATGACATATATATATATATATAATGGCATATATCTTTTGTCGGTTATCAATAATTTACATTTATCGAGAACGTTATTTTATGGAACATCACATACCGTTATCCTCTGAAGACATTCCAGGGAGGTATGTCTTCTAAATGTTAAAAATAACTTTTCAGTTTTATAAACAGTTTGTAATTATAAATAATTTTCATGAAAATTTTGTGTAAGTAAAGATCCATGCAACTGTGACCTTTCTCACCGATACTTATGATTCCTTTTGAAATGCAATTTATGTTTTCTGTAGAAAAGTATAGACACTTTAATTTCTTTCCCTTGGTTTCTGTTTCTTCGGAGAAACCAAAATAATTATGACAATCCGAAAACGATATTTATAAATATTACAAATTATAAACCATACATTACCTGTTTTCTGGCTTGGGAGTTCTTGCATTAAAGACTTCGTTAATTTTGCTTCAAAAGAGAAAATTAAATTTAAGGAAATATTAATGCAGAGAAAATATTTTTTATGAATAACAAACAGTTCATTCAATAACTAGTTAATTTTAACATAGTTCAATAAAAATTACATTAGAAATAAAATAATTCAAAAATTTAATTTAAACTATTGGTATATAGTCTTTACTGCAATTCATGATTATAATTTTTAAAATTCTGGTTCTTAATGAGCACAAGGTTTGCAAGCTAGAAACATGTTATTAATAATAATAAAAACTTACACCAAATATTCATAACAATTATTATCTAGATATGTAATAAATTAAATGTGTTTTAATTTATATTTGTTCGATACGTTATTAAAAAATCTGATGTGTACATCACATAACATCCTTGTACGGAATATTACGCATTTTTTTCCTGCATTTCATTTAAACTTACTGAGTTCTACTTCGTCGATAGTGCATAGATCGCAATAGAATAAATGCACTCTTTAAAATTCACTCTATTTATTTACCATAGCGACAGCCTTACGCTAGGTTTACTTAGCGTTATATTTCATTCATTTTATGACTCAGAATGCACAAAAATTATATCAACTGAAGAATTATCTAATCTAGATGTTCTATTCAAATACTATAATAAATCTAAAACGATGTATAAAAGAAATTAAGCAAATACAAAAGAAACAGTTTTTCACAGATGATTCAGCGCCCCTTAATGCGCATGCGCTACTCATAAACATTCTCCTCTGTCCGAGTCAGACTGCCGATAATATTTACTACTTATACTTTTATTTCCTTGAATTCCGTTAAAGATATACTTCCCATTCACTTAATTCAGTTCTCACTTTGCGGCAAGGCAAAAATACATAAAAACTCAAAATATCTTCATTAAATTTATTGAAAGCTATAGAAAAACATAAAGCACCAAATACAGTAAAAACAATTAAAGAATTTTTTTACAATTAAAATTAGAGTTTCTTTGCAAAAACAAGCTATTCGGTAAAATTCAGCAGGCAGAAAGACAGATTTTTCGGTGCACAAAACTAAAAGTTTCCTTTTGGTCCCTCTAGACCAGTGTTTTCCAAACTTTTTTGTGCTATGCCCCACCTAATCCTCTCTAAAATTTTTAAGCTCCCCTAGCATATACATAATTTTTAATATTTAAAAATTGAAATATTCACGAAAGAAACTTGAATGATAGCTTTTAGGAAGAAATGACTACGAAATTTTGTGAGCAAACACAGTAAGTGAACTTTCAAACAATGGAGAACTGGAATTCAAGAAAAACTCATTTAGTGAAAAGTTTTTATTTTAAGTATTAGTAATTTATTATTTAAATTTAGCGAGTTCCTTGCGCTTGATACTGGCTGCAAAGAAATTTTATGTCAGGTTCCAATTTAGATAACTTGAGTCTCAAGTCTCTCTGTTTCATTATATCCAACCGATTTTTTTTTCTTTCAGCAAAATATGAAGATGTAAACGGTAAAAATAGTTCTCTTCTAAATTTTGTTGCATTTGGATATCTGATTCTGGTTTCCTCACAAAGCTACGTCATCGCTCCTTTTATATTAAATAAAGTTTTAATTGACTCATCATTTTGCATTTCTGCGAGTTCTTCTTTTTACAGCATATTTCAAATATCAGTCAAATCCACTAGCATTGGCTGCATCATCCAAGTTGGGATATCAATTTGTTTTAAGTTACAAAATCTTTTAAATCAGCCGATAAAATTTTCAGATGATCGACAATAACAAGTATAGCGGTAGTCACGTCACATTTTTGGACCAATGAGACTTTTCAAAATTTTTGTGGTAAATAGTATATGCCTGACATAATTCAACAAAGATAATGAAACCAAATATCTTTCTTTTGCTCATAAGTTTTATTTGCTCCTTGAAGTTGTTTATTTTAATATATTTAATTTTCAAAGATATCGGCTAAATAACTCACAATTGCCTGTTATCATCCGTTAACGGATTTTCATTTCAGGTTGTCGCTTAAAATAACTAAGAGTATCAATAGTTCCATAAATCTTCCAAGCAGTCCTTTTCGACAGCCTTCTTACTTCAGTGTGAAGTCTCATATAGTCTTCATTTTGTTCTGGCCCTAGCTTTAATAGCATTGATACACTTTATAACTGAATTTAGTACTTCATTTAGAACAGGCGAATTGTTTTTAGCTACCAAGTTTTCTCTGTGAATAACACAATGCACAAGAAGCATTTCTGGATTCTCATCTTTTATCAATTTTAAGCAATCCTTTCTCTTATTTCTCTTATTCCGTTTATTTATTTATTATTTTATTTTTCAACCATCATATTAGGAGCACCATCTGCAGTATAAGATGTACTCTATTTTTATTGATATATTTTTTATATCTAAGTAATTTTTTAGCTTACTATAAATATCTTTGGAGGTAGTGGTGCTTTATAATAATTTACAGAACATTTCTTCGGCAAAATCCCCTTTATGAATATATCTTACATAAGTTACAAGTACGGCTTCACTGTCTGTCAAAGTTGGTTCATCCATTCGCACCGAAAATTTTCTTGTTTTCAGCTTTTCAATAAGTTGCATTTCAATATCCTCATTTAATCTTTCTTCTGTAAACAGTATCATTATTTAGTGGCATAGCTTTAACGTCTTCGTCATCTTTTTCTAGATAAGTTTAAATGCTGATATTGATGGTTTGATTAAATTCTCCCCTATAGTACGGCTTTTCCCAGATTAAGTAATGAGTAACGAAATTTGATAAATAGCCTCAAGAGCACGATTAACAGTTGCATTATGAGCAGTAAACAGACACTTTAATATTACTCTATTTTCAAAAATTTTCCTTTAAGTGTGAAAATAATTCAAATCTGAATTAATATCAGCATTATGTTTCGCCTTAATGTGCCTCAAGGCATAGTTTCATTGATTTAATGGTCAGGCATTATTGGCATAAAAGGACAAAAGTTGACCTTTTATGGACCGGGTATGAAACCAAATTTTAAATATGCCTCCAAATACCGATGAACGGTTTTTCTTGATTGCACCCCTCATTCCACTAAGGACCGAAAGAAATAAATATAAGATCAATATAAACAAAGCTGAAAGCAGCTGCTGTTGTCATTCAAGGAAAGAATAATATACCGGTGTCATTCGTACAGTAAAAAAAAATAATTCGTTGGCTGAAATGTGCGAGAAACGTCTGGAAAGCATAGATGTGCAGGTAGTAACTGCCTTGAAAAGCAGGAAATGTCCATGTCTACGCGAGAATTCTTTATAAAATATTCAGAATGCACTGCAATTTAAAAACGTTTATACATCACTTACATTTTTCTTTATTTTGGGGAATAAAAAATGAAATTTCGAAAAATTTTGACTTCATGAAACATATTTAGAACGTCCTTTGTCCCCTTAAACTCTGGACGAGTCCATTTTCTAATTGCCCCCCTTAACAGTCGCGTTGCCCCTTGTGGGGCGTGGGCCCCACGTTGGGAAACACGGCTCTAGACAAAAAGACACTGAAGGCGTAGAAACTGACCTAATTTTATGTCGCTGTGCTGAGTCAATATATGGGAGAATTTAATAACTTAAATAATAACTGCAGAATGGATTAAGCATGATTTAATTAGCAATAATAAAAGAAGACGTTATCTTGTTGCGAAGCTTAGTTTCTCTAGATTGGCAACAAATCCACTATTCTGCTAAGTTTCAAATGTAAATAAATATGGTTGCTTTGGTAAAAAAAAAAAAAAAAAAAAAAATAGTCTTAGCCGCACCGACTTTTAAATTGTTGATAATTCTACAACTATAGCATGCGGGTTAGCTAAAGGCATAAAAACCTTAAGCGGAAGATAAGAACAACATAATTCAATCATTTTAAAGCAAAAAATGCACTATTTACCAACATATGAGAATAAATAAACTGAGCTCCCGGAGCCAAGTAACTGAGTGGATATATATATACATATATACTTTTGGTTGGGCCGATTTCAACAAAAAAGGCAGGTGCACATGTTTATGATACAGCAGTCCCGCATACAAAATTTCAAAGTTGTGAGGGTATTCCTTTTTGAGTTATGCGAGATGCATACATACATACGTACACACATACATACAGACGTCACGAAAAAAATCTCTTCTGAATCCATTTTAAATCAGTTTTATAATTCGTTTGGGGAAAAAGAGTCCTTTATTCTATCCTTACGTACAGAAATCAAGCAAAAACACAATTAAATTGCATTCGATAGCGGTTAAAATGGATATTTTCGTTGAAATATGGTAAACGGAATTTTTCGTGATTACAATACCGCCTTTAGTTTGTACAAGAAAGTAACAAATTGAAGCTACCGTGACCATCAAGGCACTGGTGACCTACGAGTTGACGAAATACAACGGAAAATAAATTTAGATAAGTTATTAAAATAAAATTAAACCTTATGGTCACGTGCGTAGTAATTTATCGAAATGCGTTTAAATCATTCAGTTTGGCAAGCCATTAAAGACTGGTGAAATTTGGGTGGAAGATTATAATTTTATTACCTTCTGCCAACTGACATCTTTTCCAAGAAATACCATTTTTAGGGTCGCATGGAAGATAAATTAAAGATTTTAATGTTTTGTAACGTAATTCAAAATAATACTTTTCAACATGAAATTGTTATTTTGGGGCATTTTACCCACTGAGTTTTCATAAGGTCTTATGAAAACACATTGAACCTAGTTTGTCTTATGCGATACTTTTGTAATCTTTTTTTCGAAAACAAAACCCCTTTTTATGTTCTTTTAGTCCAAAGGGATTTGAGTCCCGAGGACTATTACTTTCGTTTTGGCATTTTTGCGTCGGACTCCTATAAATGTCGGTTCACTTTTCAAAACTGTTGCCATAAAATGTTAAGAGTCCTGCATTATATTTGAAAAATTAAATAATGAAAATCTGCGTAAATGTATGTATATTTCTCACATTGTCATAAAATAACGGTACATAGAGTCATCGAATTTTGAATAACGTAATCCTCCAACGAATATGAGCATGTGGAAGACCAAATTTGAAATTTGAAATTTGTTTTATGATCGATTTCCTATTTTTTAAAACTTTGACGAATTTTTGATTAACAAACTCAAGGATTTCAAAGCGAGCAATGGCAACGTTGTGCAGAAAAAACATTTTTATCTCCAGCGCGTGAGTCTCTGTATCGGAAATTCTAAAGATATGCTCGTTTTAAAACTATTTTGCGATATTGCTGTTGCACTGGATCTTATGGTTTAAGTGCGAGGAACATGATATTTAATAAAGAAAGGTAACACACAAAATGTTAAAAAACGCCCCTTTGGACGTAATTTAAAATCTGAAACATTTCAGATTTTGTTTTTATTTATTTATTTATTTATTTTTTGAAGAAAAATATTTTAAGTCAATATATAAGATGTTCGATGATTATGCCTATAGGCTTTATTCTCTTAAATAGTATAACTGTACGTGCTTTTCCGATGACAAATATTTTTACAAAAGAAGGTTGAAAGATTTACGTAAACAATTTTGACATTTTGTATCTAAATCTAATCGGCATTGCATTTAGTATAAAATCTAATCAGAAGTTCTTTTTGATGTATAAAAATTCAACAGACTTAACAAAGAATTACGAATTCACAATATGGATACAGCGATTGTATATATAGCAGAAGAGGAAGTAAAAGAGCTGGACTATTTTTTGCGGAAGAGGTGAATACGTTAAAAGTTTATCGGATTCTGAGGGGGGGGGAGGAACCTCTTCTAATAGCAAAACGAGCACTAGGAAATAAACAAAAGTTGAATACAGCTAGAAAGATAATACATTTCAATCCTACACGAGACCAAGTTGGAATTATCTATGACGGATGCCGTTTAAAAAATGCAGATATTAGTAAGTCAGAAGCTCTACTTAGAAACCATAGTAAAGATTTAGTGATTATCAGAAATTATCAAAAAACTACAAATGCAATAGCACACTACTACTACAAATGTACTCAACACTATTACCCAATAGACTCACATTTTTACTACAAATAGACTCAATTTCAGATGTTAGAACAAAATACTGAATTTTGAAGGGCAGACAACGAATTAAAAGCACTATTTACAAAAGCATTATTTACAATTGCACTTCTCTCAAAAAATTTCATACAAAACCCTGTGCTCAAGAAGTAGAACCTTTTTCTTTATTACTACAAAGACTCAGATGTTAGAACAAAATATTGGATTTTGAAGGGCAGACAACGAATTAAAAGTACTATTTACAATCGCACTTCTCTAAGAAATTTCATACAAAACCCCATGCTCAAGAAGACTCTGTATCGGAAATTCTAAAGATAGGGCTCAATTTAAAACTATTTTTCCATATTGCTACAGTTCAACAGCAATATCGCAAAATAGTTTTAAATTCAGCCTATCTTTAGAATTTCCGATACAGAGTCTCGCGCGCTGGAGATAAAAATGTTTTTTCTGTACAACGTTGCCATAGCTCGCTTTGAAATCCTTGAGTTTGTTAAACAAAAATTCGTTAACGTTTTACAAAATATGAAATCGATAATAAAATAAATTTCAAATTAGGGCTACCAGGTGTCCATATTCGGTGAAAGATTACTTTATTCAAAATTTGACAGGCTTTAGGTACCGTTGTCTTATCACAATGCGAGAAAACATACATACATTTATGCAGATTCTTCATTATTTAATTTATTTAAATATAAGACAAGACGATAATATTTGATGGCAATAATTTGAAAAGTGAATCAACACAAAATGCCACAACGAAATTAATAGTCTTTCTTATTCTGCTGGGACGACTCACGAAATTTAGCTTGTGTTTTTTATGTTTCGAAACCGCGACTTAGGATATATATTAGATTTATAAATAACATTGTTCTAACATAGGTATTCTGACATAAAATTGGACTTTTTCTGAGATGACATACACATTTTTTTCCCATATTTCGATTGTATGACTCAAATCATGGCCAAATATTAAATTTTGTAAATTCTGGTGGGAAACTCAAATATACATTTTTTTTTTTTTTTTTAGTTTGCGTCGAAAATAATTCTCAACTATAGTGACCTATTTTCCTTTCTTTTTTGTCACTGTGCACGAGTGGGAAAAAAAGTTGCAACGTTCATTCTTTCAAATAATTTTAACAAACTGCGTAAAGCGCATTTCAAAAGGCTTTAATATATAAATTCACGTATAGCTTGGGAAATTCTGAATAAACACTAATTTTTCGTAGGCATGTTTAGAAATACATTTACAAAAGTACATTTTATAGGTTTAATTAAACATTTTATGAAAATTACTAAAAAAGGCACTAATAAATATATACAAAATTCAATTAACATTGAGCAGCTAAAATTTTGAGAGCTACTTTTTTAAAAATTACTCTTGGGGCTTTTCCGAAACTTGTCACTTTGAGTCATGGAATCGAAATATGGAAAAAAATTGATATGACATTTAAAAAAAAATTCCGGTTTTGTTTCAAAATACCTATATTAGAATAATGCTATGCAAAAATCTAATACATATCATAAGTCATATTTTTAAGACATAAAAAATGCAAGTTAAAGTTTGTCAATGCCCCCCCCCAGTAGTACGGAAGATAAAAAACTGTCCCTTCTTTTTTTGTGCAGAATGTACATCCATTATAAATAATCGTTTTTGACTACGCTGGGACTTTGTACTATATAAAAGGTAAAGAAAAGCCGACGAACTTATACATTTCTTCATATGAAAAGAAAAAAAAAAAAAAAAAAGAGAAAGCATTTGATCTTAAACTGGCAGACGATCTTAGAAAAAAAAAAAAAAAAAAACTAGTGCAACATGTATCCCAAAATATATATCTAAAAAACGCAACATATCTGATAGAATAAAAGAAATTTAGACAGTTTTTTTAAAGAACTTTTTTAACTGCATTTACTCTTTAAATTAAACACAAATATATATATTACAAACTGCATAAAAATCTTTTGCATATAATTTTAAATAATTCTCAAGTTTCGATTAACTAATTCTAAGAACATAATAATTGTTTGCTTGAAGAATACGAAATTCCTGTTACTCTCCCACAAAATTTGTAAACACACAGAATTTTCTATAAAACTAACATTTGTCTAATATTTAATTTCACCTAAAATCAAAATTGAATGCCTTTTTAAATAACAAAATATGTTTACTTGCGACGCTGATGCATTTCATATATCGGAAGCGAATGCATTCGAAAACGATACTTCAGATCGTCCCAGTCCTCATGCATGTTATATTTGTTTAAAGTATTACATGCCATTTATATTACTCTTTAATACTTTCCTAATTATTTTTATTTGTACTATTTTATACGCTATCCGAAAACGAAATTCCAAATCGTTTCAGTTGTTATACACACTATCATTCTTATTTAAAGTAATACACAACTTTTATTTTACACATTATTGTCTTCTCATTATTATTTGTAATATTTCACAAGCCATATTTCAAGCTATTACAACTAAACCTCATTTGTTTACATAGTAATAATATAAGTTACCAAATATTTCAAATGAAAATATGATTACCTTTATTCTTGCAACTGTAAGCTGTCATTTTTATACATTAAGCGCCTTTATGAAATAACTACAAGAGAACATCAGAATTCTGCACGTCTACATGAATGATAACTGTACGAAATTACATCACATTCATAATGCAGACAAATAAAAGTTGACACCGCCAAAACCAGAACGAACAATTGTTCCTAAGAAACAATTCCGTTTGCAAATGCAAAGTCAGATTTTTTTAGTACAGTGCTGCCGTCTATTGAACACAAAATGCATAATTTAAGTTTGGCTTTTAGGTGTAGTGCTGCCATCTATTGGCTATAATATTTATTATTTTTAAAAATTTGCAACTGAATGCAATTTCGATCGAACTTCGATAAACCTAATTTAGTAACAGAGGGAAAGACATCTAAAATTAAGAAAATTCGACCAAATAACATCTAAAACACACTTAGCGCTCTGTATTCATTTGCAAACTACTTTGCATTTACTGCAAATACCATAGATTAAATTTATTTCAAAACATGAAATGCTTAAGTAATTAAAATATTAAGCATTACAAAAATGGTGCATTAAGTGACAATAGTATTAACAAAAGTAAATATTTTTTAACACTTGAAGGAAGTGTTGTTTTTTCCTTTTCGGTAGAATCTAATCTATTGCCAATCAATGAAGCATAAGATCTTCATTTTATCTTCGAAATTAGAAAGTGCTAGAAAACAACATTAATTATTTAAAAACACATTATTTTCCTTTCTTTTCCTGGACGTCTCAAAAAAACTTTGCAACATGATTATAAGATGTCATGGGATGTCGTAGATAACATATGTTGCTAATATCTTATAATGTTTAAAACTGGCCAACAAAGCAAGCTAGACTGGCATAAATTTCGAATAAAACCCTATCGATTTAGAAAATATGCTTTTCCTTTGTAAAAATCTTCACCTTCTGACATAGATCAATGGATGGAGTTTTATTTGAAATTTATATCGATCTAAAGTTGCGTCTATGCCTAATTTTAAATTTTATATTTCCTCTTAGTTGTTCCGTATTATATTTCCTTCTATTCTGTGTTTCCAGTCCTAGTTAGACCTTATAATGGAACATAAATTTATACCTACAACCCTCTTCTGCTCGCTGTAGTTTTCATTAGAAAAAAAAAAAGTCTAACTGTTATGTTTTGAAGTAACGTATAAATTATAAACACTTTTATAAATTTCATTTCCTTAACTTTCTTCAAATGCCATTAATACATTTTAATACTTTACCAAGGAGTAGTTCACACATTGGCTACCAATTTTTTCCGAATTTCTTTGGAAAAAAAGAGACAATTTCAGCTTTTACGAAATTCATACTTAATTTAGAAGTTTAATTTTTTGTTTACTTAATTGTTGTTTAAAATTTAATCCTACTTCTTTCTTTGAATTTACAGTGTTATTATGCTTCATTTACTTATTTATTGTACTAATGCTATGACTTATTTGTGTAAGCCTCGAGGTATGCTTTGCGAAACCAGAAAGCTTAGATTTAACGAATATCTACAGTTCACAATTCAATGTAGAATTGAACAATATCTGCTATTGCCAATTCATAAAACTGAATATTGACGCTTAAAAAATAATAATAACTAGATTTAAAAAGAATTTTTATTTTAAAAGCTTGCTTTGTTCTTGCATTTTATTTTGGACGTAAATTGTATTTTGGACGTACAAAAATAAAAGTATCAAATACTTAAAAAATAATATTACCGCCTGAATCAAATTTAATATATATATATATATATATATATATATTAAATTGTGTGTAATGGTGTATGCATGTGTGGTGCGTGTGTAAAAATGCATAAAAACTAAACTATAATTAAAATTAGCAATAGCACCTTTAATGCTTCATTTGGTAGTAGTCTTTTTCTGCTTTACGTCATTTCGAGACAAATCCACGCCATATGACTCTTGCATAACAATGAAGAAGCTAAAAGAAGTAAAAATTAAACAGCCAATAATAATTTTACAGCAGTATTCAGTTATCTAACCAAATGCATTGAGAACCAAAACTAACTTATTATGAATTAAGATTTCATCCTGAACACAACTGCACTTGCTTCCTACTCTGCGGCTTAGCTGGACTGCTGTCTGCTGCTCTCTTCTTACTGCAGATCTATAAAAAAATGTAAATATTTTGAAGTAGGCACAATTGGCGTACCAGGTTATTTGTGGCCATAACATGTTTACGGAAATAAAAAATGAAGATTTAATCTGCCTCAGCTGCTAGTTTCCTGTTCATTATATATCAACATTATTCTTGTTTTTCATTATGAAGTCAACATTGAAGCAGATAGTGTGCTTTGCCATAATAAACTAAACCAAACTAAACTAAAACGAATTCAGCATTTTACGTATCTCGGCAATAAATTTCTCTACAACAACCTAAGTCTATTAGTCATATATATATATATATATGTCATATTAAAGCACAAAGGAAAATGACGGAACACTGTAGATGCGTGATTAGATCCATATTGAAGAAGAATTTTGATTGCGTAGTATTTAAAGAACTTGGCAGTCGAGGCAGTTTTAATTCCATTTTTATTTCCAATTGATATTTGTGGCCACAATCACTTGGCACTCTAGTCGTGCCTTTCCACAGAAGATTTACATTTTTGATATTGTTGAGATAGAAAGCAAGCCAGCGAAATTACATCTTAGCACAGTAGAGAGCAAAAGCTGAAGTGCGTAGTTATGAAAGATGGAAGCACGCGAAGAGAAAAGTTTTGGTTTACAAGGACAGTTTCAGTTCCCAATTGATTACGTCATCAGAGCTGCGCGCGATCATAGAGTGATCTAGAATGACGCAATGCAGAGAAGTTATTACGATTTTAGAATAGAGAGAAGAATTAATGTTTAGTTTATATTATAATTTTGATTCATATATTTTTATCTTACATATTCCCCCCTTCAAAAAGAAAAAGGCGTAGCGACAGAGAAGCCTTTTTAAAGAAAAAGAGTTAAAGCACTAGCAAATTAAAAAAAATAAAATAAATAATAAAATTTTGATCCTGTAAAGTATTAATTTTATAATAATTCTTTTTTTAAATAAATTTTTAATTTTTAGAGTCCTATTGAATTTTTCAACATTTCAGTCCAAAAGTCTTTTTGTTTGAGAGTTCACATAATCATAATTCTTCAGGGAAGGTTCGCAGAATATCACAAAATAAACTTTTACATAATCATTACTTATAATTAAATGTAATGCACATAAATATTTATGATACTTATTTCTATACTGATAAATTATAATTTAAACATCATAATAATAGGATTAAGATTTTCAGAATTTATGGTTTCACCGTTATCATCTTTCATTTACAATTCCTGATTTTACCAAACTGGAAGCCTCGCAATACTTCTAAACAAACATATCCATCAATAGGGCTGTCCTCTTGAGCTAACCAGTGTGTTCTCTGCACTGGTGGCCCAGGGTGCCTAGGCAGTTACTTGAAAAGGCCTCCGTTCCTTGCATTAAGGTAACTGGCCTTTGAGAACTGCACTAATACATTCCATAATAAAAATATAATAATAATAATAATAATAATATAAAAAAATTACACACACTCATAAAATGAGAGCCTCCAACATTATCTTACTTGAAGAGGGTGAAGGGAACAACTGTACAGAGGTAATTACAGGCCTCTGCTTAGGAACCCAGTACTCCCTCGACATACACTATACTTAACATACAATCACCCATAAATTTAACATGCATTTACCATAATTTCATATTACGTATCTGTAATAATTTCACTTATTTTTTACACCTACTTCATTTTTAGAATAATTATAAAATTCGTATTCAAAATTCTCAACAAAATTTCAAAAACATAAAAACTTATCTTAATATCCTTCCCTATGAATAATTTAAATAGCTTAAAATTCGTTACTTAATTTGCTCACACATAATTATGAAAAATTAGAAAAATTAATGAACAAGAATTTCAGATTTTCTCAAAACAAATTGCAGAAATTTTAACCAAAGTTGAAAATGAAAACTATAGAATCCGCAGCACATTAAATAATTTAGTTCCTGAGCTAGATTCACACGAATGTAATAATTTTTGAGCTGTTGAAAAAGCAGAAGTGCAAATAATTTTCTGTCGCACATACTTGCAAACACTAACTCAGATCGACCTTGAACCCGCTGTAATGCTGAATCCCTAAACTGTAATTCACTGATGATTTTCCTTTTCACTAGGCATTCGAACTTCTCAATTTATCGAGATATTACTTTCAATCTGTAAACACTACGCGTGATTATTTTTTTGAAGCACTTGCAAAACACCACAGCAGAAGAATGATCTGTTATTTTTTAAACACTGAAAAAACAAACTTGATGATTCACTTCTTTCACATTATCTTGGATTTATCACAAAACGATGATTTGAAGAGCTGAATTAAATTTTCCATTGAGGTTTCAGGCTGCAGGAAACTATCCTACTGGCTTAATTGTCATATTAAAGCACAAAGGAAAATGACGGAACACTGTAGATGCGTGCTTAGATCCATATTGAAGAAGAATTTTGATTGCTAATAATGTAACTTGGTAATATTAAAGAACTTGGCAGTCGAGGCAATTTTAATTCCATTTTTATTTCCAGTTGATATTTGTGGCCACAATCACTTGGCACTCTAGTCGTGCCTTTCCACAGAAGATTTACATTTTTGATATTGTTGAGATAGAAAGCAAGCCAGCGAAATTACATCTTAGCACAGTAGAGAGCAAAAGCTGAAGTGCGTAGTTATGAAAGATGGAAGCACGCGAAGAGAAAAGTTTTGGTTTACAAGGACAGTTTCAGTTCCCAATGATTACGTCATCAGAGCTGCGGCGATCATAGAGTGATCTAGAAATGACGCAATGCAAAGAAGTTATTACGATTTTAGAATAGAGAGGAAGAATTAATGTTTATAGTTTAATCTATAATTTTGATTCATATATTTTTATCTTACATATATATATAAAACTGACAAAGATTATAAAGCATAATTCAGCAAAATTAAATAACAAAATGAACAATTTTCTTTTTATTTTACTTTTTTTAAATACGCAATATGTAAAACTGCAACAATATTCGTGTCTTGAAAAAGCGAAAAAATATCTTAAAGTATATAAAAATTATGCAAAAATTATACAAAAGTGTTAAATAAAATTATCTTCAATAGCTAACCGCGGACCATACTTGTAAGTACCTAATTCGTGATTTATATCATGGAAAAATTTCTAAATTTTAAAAATTAGCAAATAATGAAAATAAATTGTTGATTATAAATATTTTTTTTAAGTTTTGGGGAGTTTTATACTCATTGAAGAAAATAAAAAGAATTTTAAATATGTAATTAGAACCAAAATTTAGTGTGCTGAACATGACGCAAAATGTACAAGGAACAATAAACGTTGCAAACTATAAATCCAACATCTCTTAAATAATATAAGCAAATTTAAAACAGTAAAATTATTAAATACTGTTAACAACATATTAAGATATATTGTGGTAACACCAAAGCAAAAATTAAGTAGCTAATAAATCTCTGATAAATTTCTGATTCCAAAGAGATAAAATATTTGATAATATTAACATCTACGGCAGCTGAAACAGAGCAAATTAGGTAAATCTCATATTCATAGAATATTCAGAGAAGGTATAAAGAGTGGAAGGACAGAAGGGCTATTAGTTTCAAAATAGCATTTTGTTTTGTTTCGCTATAAAAGGGTAATTTTTTTTTTTCCAATGATAGATTGCGAACAATTACAAATGCAACCCAGTCCATTAATCTATACGAGGCCAGATGTGGTGGTCTGTTTATTATGGAGGCACCTAATAGGTGGGCCACCATCGCCTTTCCTATGAAGGGCCGGACAGTTACAACCATGCCTTCTTCGGGATTCGAACCCGAAGAAGGCATGGTTGTAACTGTCCATGGTTGTAACCCTTCGGCATCGCAGTCATCTTCCCTGGCCACTATACCGACTGGGCGGCAATAAAAGGCTAATGTATATTTAAATTGTTGCCACCAAATATTATCGCCCTTTGTTATATTTAAAGAAATTAAATAATGAAGAATTTGCATAAATATATGCATGTTTATCGCATTGTGAAAAAACGACGTTACCTACAGCCATCAAATTTTGAATAACGTAATCCTCCCTCCCAACATGGCCACCTGGAAGCTCGAATTTTAAAATTCGAATTTGTTTTATTATCTATTTAATATTTTGTGAAATTTAACGAATTTTTGATTAACAAACTTGAGTATTTCAAAACGAGAAACAGCAACACTGTACAGGGAAAAAAAAAAAAAAAAAAAGAAACTCTTTTATTTCTAGCGCGAAACGGAAATTCTAAAGATATGCTGTTTTTAAATATTTTGCGTTTTTAAATATTTTGTGATAATATATGTTTTTAAATATTTTGTGCTGTTTTTAAATATTTTAATATTTTGTGTTACCCTTATTTATTAAATATCATGTTCTTTGCACTTAAACCACATAAAATTCAAATCTTTTAAAAACAGCATATCTTAAGATTTGAATTTTATGTGGTTTAAGTGCAAAGAACATGATATTTAATAAATAAAGGTAACACACAAAACGTTAAAACACTCCTTTGGGCGTAATATAAAATCTGAAAGCTTTCAGAGTTTTTTTTTAAATATGTTATAAAACTTTTATATTTTTATAATTACGTTCTTGGTGAAATTTGTGTCTCTTACAAGCAACTATTCTGTCTGTGTTTGTTCTGATAAAAAACAGGCTTTACAGTTACATTTTCAATCTTGTAAAACTGCTGATAACTTTTTCGATCAGCTCCGTTCAGTTAAAGAATTTTTCTTAAAATTTGCACTGCTTTTCTAGATAGATAATGGCATATCATCACGTTTTTCTCTATCATTTTAGCTATCAGTTCCTCCAGTGTTTCTAGCATTTTCACAGTCAATTCTGATACATATTGCCTGAATACTGTTGGGAATTGACACGTACTTTAGGAATGAATCTTCATAACTTTCCTCACTGATGCCTCAATCATTAGCTGTAGTTGTAAATTCCTCTGAGGCTTCTTCGACATAAAAGCTACATTTTCAAAAACAGGTTTTAACTGATTTTACACATAAATACGACACTAAAGCAAAAAGCGGAGAGGAAAGATTTTACAGATTAATAGGCTCATTGGCGTATGCGACTATTATTATGGTAAGTTAGCAGTAAATTCTTGACTCCTTTCAAACAGTTTTTTTTTCTTTTGTCAATAATTGTTGGGTCCATATTGCTTCTTAATAACACAGTATCTTATACGTTCAGTTTCTTAAACCAACTGCTACTTCACGTTTAAATATTGATATGTGTTCTGGTAATGTTCTGGAGCGTAATTCAGCTTCGTCTGTATTATAAATTTCGAGCGTCTTATATTCATTTAGCAGCTGAAATAAAACGTCTTGTATCCAGTTATCAATTGCACGATGATCCGCTTCTTCCTTCTCACCATGCAATTTCTGATGGACCATGTTGGATTT